TATCTATCTATCTATCTATCTATCTATCTATCTATCTATCTATCTATGCCATCACTGCAACAGTTCTTACTACCTATAAATGACCTTCATTCCAATACCCATAGTTTAGTAGTTTGTGACCAGACTCCTAGAGTCCAACATCATGTGGCTAGCACCACAAACATTTTTTATTCCATGTCTACTTCACCAGAGAACACACTGATCACAATCAGGATGGACAGTGTGAGGTTTGGATATCATATAAATTATCCAAACATAAAAAATAAAAAAAATCACTCTCTATTGATCTGAAAGGGGAGCACATTATTAATGATAAAGTAATATACCCACTACTTTACATGCTAAGTACCAGAGGAACTCTTACAATAACGCACTATAACACAAGAAAGCACTAAAATATAAATAACAATGTAAAATTGATGTGTTATATACATAACATGAACACTGCTAAAACCCAAACTAATAGACTCTATATTGAGACGTACGTTGTGAATTGTTGACCACTAGTTGATTATAGGTTATTTAGTAAAGTGTGTTGTTTTTTGGTACTCTGGCTTCCTCCCACCATCCAAAAAATGCATATGCTATAACCCCGAGAAGTAAATGTATGTATGATTGTTCCTTTCTATTTGACCCTATGATGGTTTGGCAGCTTTTCCAGGATATGCCTGCCTTTCGCCCAATGTCTGCAAGGATAGGCTCCAGCCCCCTGTGACCCTACAATGAAAAAGCTGTAAGGCAAAGTAGAAATGTTTTGTGTTCTGTTTACATGATAGTGCAAGTGTTGTGGGGCAGAGAGCCAGGAGGCCTACCTCAGGGGCATTGTCGCAGGTGTGTCCAGCAAATACTCTGCAATTCAGCACACAAGTGGCCAGTTACCTGGGGAGCCTACTTAAGGACGCTAGGAACTTCAGTCAGTCTGACGTACAACCCACAGGGTAACCTCATGCCCTGTTCCTACGACTGCTGTTTTTTGCATTACGTTTCTTTTCCCCCTTGTACAGTGTTTATCAGTAGTTGCTTCATCCTTTTTTCCCTCCAAGGAACGACCCCAGCGTGCCTTCCACGGCTTCCTGCCCCCACGCTCTCCACGTCCTGCCATCCCCGCTCTGCAGGTCTCCTGTGTGTAACCCCCTTTTTGCTTCTATTAAGAATTTAGTATAAATTTGGGTTTCAGATTCCTAGATTTTGGACCAATTTTCAGAAGATTAGGTAACGCTCATGAAGCCCAGGACGGAACATCAAAATTAACCACACTCACACACGATTTAATTTCAATAAATGTATTATTAACAATGAACCTGAACAATATTAACAATATGATACAATATAATGAAAAATAATAAAGTGCGCGCATAGGAAACAAAGAAAAAAAATTATGAGCTCAGTTTGTCCTTTTTCTGATGTCGTTGGGGCCCTTTAATCTCACCGATCCTACCACACAGTCTTGGGAGATTAGTTCAGTCCTTTATCTTTTGGGTTCTGGCTGCCACTCCCTATCGGGTCAATCCAGCAGATGGTGAGAAACAGCTGATGGCTCTCCTGCTCTGGTCTCCTCTTTATCCCGGATGGCTGGTGTCTCTGATGCCTCTCTCAGCATCAGGATCACCAATTCCTATCCTCAAGAAAAAACCTGACCTGTAGGACAGGCCACATTCATTCAACCATTCATTAAATCAAACTAATACAGGTCATAAGTCCTTATTTAAATTAAATAACACAGAAATGACCTAAAAATCAATCTATATGAATTAACAAAAATGGCTAATTCTCATTTCGGTGTAAACAGTGTAAATTAAATAAAATACACAAATTACCATAAAACACACAATAGCCTAGCAATCTGAATTTCCCCACATTTTAGCAATTAGCTACTGTTAAAATATAAGCCTATGTTGTTGTCATTATGTCCTCAGGTTATTCTCTATGTAACTGCTATGTTGTTTTAGCATCACAAGAGGGCGCAAGAGCACGCTGAATGAGTAATGCGTGAATGTTCATCTTGTATTTAACCTAATGGACTTCCCGTAGATGGACATTTTATATATGTGATGATTACCATTTTTTCACTCTCTCTCGTCCGCGCTCAACCCAACTGGAAGATGTTCATGTATTTTTGTCCTGAAATAAATCTCATTAAATGAGAGAAGTCGCCAATCTCCTTCTTATGCATCGACAGCAGCACCACTCTGCTGAAAGAACTCAACAGCTACGCCAGCCAAGCTCAATGCCACACACGTGGCATTAAGCTAGCAGCTAGCGGCCGATTAGCGCTAATGCTAACGGACCTTTATTTGCCATTAAATCGCTCAAACTTCATTCAAACTCACCGCCGAGTAAGCAACACAGAATGTGGATCCTGGACTTTGCTTGCGCAGTGTTTTCCACCTTTTCCTTCAATTGTTCGTTTAATTTTCTGTCTTCCAACGCAGAGAACACCTCGTAACAACCACACAGTGTGTCTTCCTTCCAACTCTCTCTCTGTGTGCTCTGCGCAGCCGCAGTACCGCGACGCACCTGCGTCTCTCTGCGCTGTACGTCAGACTTAACCAACTAACTGTTGGCTATCTTTCACACTCATTCATACTACTTATAAAAAAAACAGACTCACTTCAAATGACTTATGAAGCCTGGGCTACATGTGTTTTGTTTTTTGTCCCTACATCTGAGAGAATAAACGGTGGTGTGCCCACCTCAACAGACTGCCAGATGTTCCCTCCAATTGTTTGCAACAGGGGTTCGGTTTTTGTTGAGCTTTAACAGCAAGAAGAATAAAGTGACCAAAAAGTTGAGCTCTAAAGATATTCGAGCTTTGTGTGTTTGCATCCAAAATTCCAGCACACTACATGAATCTCAATAAATTAATCATCATTATCATGGTAATCCACAGTTCTCAGCACACATCCTGTCTGGCTGTTGTTTTATAAAAACAATTAATAGATTAGTTGGCTGCCATGACATTTGGTTACAGAGGCAACCAAAAACACAAATAAAAACATCAAATGAAAGAAAAAAATAGCCAAATTTTAAGACAAAATGTATTGTGAAGAACACAATTAAAAGAAGAAACAAATAGACAACTGTGGTGACTTATGGTATGATCGTCTTCAAATAGCGCCAGTGAAGGTGATGCAGGAAAAACTCTGCTGAGGCAGACTTGGTTGAACAAAGAGGATTTTATTGTCAGCCAGGTCCGAGTCAAAAGTGCAGATCGATGCATCAAGTCTGGAAAGGTCTCATTGCCCAATGTCAGAGAAAACTCTGTACTTTTTGTCTTACGTCAGGCTGTTTTCATCCAGGCGTGCAGCCCGAATATGGTTTTATCCATATCATAAACCTTTCCTTTTTTGGTCCTCCACCAGGCCGTCTTCCTCGAGATGTACAGCTAGAATATATTTTGTCCATATCATGAACATCTTCTTTTTGTCCTCCCTACACTCTACTTTAGGAATATGTTTTCCCTGGTGTTATGCTCTACGAACAGAACAGTGCTTAACTGTGAGCTTCAGACACCACACAACACTCAGGGAAATTTCTCATTTCAACAATTGGACTATGACCCCCATTGACAGCGGTGATCAGTGGTGACAAACATCTCATTTGAGGGGAATCATGATCTCACCATATGCTGCTGACTTTTATGAGAAATCTGGTTAATTTCTGCTGCGATTAGGTTCACTCTATGTCCGTCACGTGCATGAAATATGACTGCTGTCTTCCCTATAACTGCTACCAAGGGTTTGGGGCTCAAATAGTCAACATCAGTAATTACTTAATTTTTCCAAAGAACCCTGAGTTCTAATTTATACGGTTATATTCTTCACACACGTGAGCAGTATCTCACTTTAATTTTTTTCTGAGAAATCCAAGAAGTGTACCTTCTAGAAATTCCAACTACCATCAAAAATTTAATTTTCATTGTATTTTGCGTCAAGTGACCTTTTTTGTAAACTTACATTTTAAGTAAAGTGTGCATTTGCATAAACTTCAAGACTTACAAATAAGAAAAAATTGGGTTTATCATGTTTGAAAATAGATACATCATCCTCTAACTGATGAAAGTCAGTTTTGTTAACATATTATTTCTGCCAGAATCCTGGTACTGCTTCTCCCCCTGTATTGATATAGTTGCAGTCAGTACAGAAATGTTTATGGTTAGACATTATTTTGGGAGCAGCACTGGATCAAGAAAGCAGCTGTTTTTTCCTCAATAAGTTACACAGATAAACCCATTTAGGCTAACTGGTCTGGCTACTCTTAATTCAGAACAAATGGCACAGTATACGAAATCTGTCATGGGTTGTCATGTTATTGTTCCGTTGCCTGTTTTGGTTTGTAGTCTTTCCTGTCTGGTCCCATTGTTGTTGTTGCACTTCCTTCCTTTTGATTTCTTGTCTCCTCCCTAATCACCTCACATGTATCATTGTTTCCTCCCCTGTCTTGTGTAGATATTCTTCAGTCTGTCTCTTGCTCGTTGCGTGTTTGTAATCGTCATTTTGTCTGTCGTCCGAGCTTTGTCATTTTTTGTGTAGCCTTGTTTTCCTGACCTTTGTCTGCCATCTTTTGTCCACCATTTTTTGCCTGCCGATTTTGTACTTTAGCCTGATCTTGTTGCCTACCCGTGTACCGACCATTGCTGGAATAAACGATTGTGATTTTGGATTTCCTTCCTGGAGTCCTGCATTTGGGTTCTAGTGTTACGATTCTGATCAAATTGCACAATTGCTGAATTATCGCCAGTTAATTACCACTAAATTGTACATAATTCTTATGAGTGGCTATCTTTTGGGATGTTAGGCAATTCACAAAGTTTTTAGACTGGGTTACTTTAGCTATTGGGAAACTTTATAGCCTAAATTTACAAAAATTATTCCATTTACCTTATTTACAATTTGAAAATGGTGCACTAACATGTCAAAAATACTATATCTGAGCATATATCAAACTTTTGATCCTTTCTACACACCAATAACTTTGCGCTCTCTGTAAGGAATGTCCCCACAAGGCGTTTTCTCTTAAAAATATGGACAATAGTAAAAGTGATGTCATGCCGACCACTGTCTATATGCCAGCGGTAAACTGTGTGGTCATTTCTTTAATAAGGCTAAATGAAAATGTTATCATGCATAGATGTGCATCGTGGAGGAACTTCTGCTTTCTGTAGCCACACTAAGAACCACACTTGGGTTCTGTAATAATCTTATTCCCAGTGAGATCAAGATTAATATAACTCAGTAGTACTCAAAACCCATAACAAGGCGCTACCTTTGAGGTCTTTGTTCTGCTTACACTACTCTCTAGAATGCTAAAAAGACAGAAATTTTAGTTTAAAAAAATGCTTTGTGGTTCAACATACCTTTTCAATGTCTCTCAGAATCTACAATTTGACCACTGTCTTTTCATAAGTATGCTTGTTTGGCGCCTTCCGCAACACTAAGCAGCACCAAAAATCTATATATATAGTATATATGATCTGACATCACTGCCAATGCTGTTGGTGTCAAAGGCTACTGGACACCATTATGCTTCTGCACATTTCCCCCTGTTGGGCTTCAGTTTCAATTAGAGGCGGGTATGCATGTGACTCCTGCTGCACGTTTATAAACACACTTTAATACTACTTAGTTGTTGGACAGTTGGTCTAATGCTGTCAAAATCTGACTGACCTGCACAGTTACAGGGTGACTGTTACAGTCATAAATGCCCACAGGCTAGCACCCTCAGTGACTTTGACCTTTCATTGAAAATTTACTGAGAAAATTTCCCTTTTCAACTCTGCCTAAAAATACAGTTGCAATAATAACGGATGTTTTGGCCCATCCAATTTTTTTAAATTTGAATTTAATTGTTTGTTTTTTTAAAACAGAGTTGTACATGGAACTGACACCTTTGTTGGTAAGAGCAACACTGGCAGGGCAAGATGGCAGTTCATTTAAACATATTTACACATAGGTACATACACAGAGATTATCTAAACCCGTCCAGGGTCTACTTACCCACTTGCCCAATATTAGGTGGGATAGGCCCCAGCCCGCATCCCCACCAGGAATAAGTGGTATGGACAATGGATAGATTTAATTGAAGGACTCCATGTAGTCTGCTCCCATTATGCAGTCTAAGTATGAAGGTGGGAAGGATAAAAAAAGGAATGTGTGCATTTTAATTAGTTCACGGTAAAGAGACATGGCACAGACAGATCAGGAGCGAACATAATTAATTATGTTAAGCACCAAACCAAGCACCTATTGCCTAGTGACAGCTGGGATAGTTTTCAGTGATCCTGCACTACAATAAACAGGGATAGAAAATCGACATAAAGAGTTTTAAAAGAAAGTGACCCAAAAAAACAAATTTTCTCTGCCATCAACAAAGAAATTACAACAGGCACACATTTAGTGCACTCACTGCAGCAATTAAAAAAATATCCCATACCATTGTAAGAGAGGTTGTCCATTAAAATTTTGCTTTTGGATAACATGTTGGAAATATGTACACATTCACTTCCCCGGATTGATTCTTAAAATCCTACTTTATAATTGTTCTGTTGACATATAACTAGGTAGGGGGCAGCACTGCGCCCCTTAGTTGTTGTAGTGATTTGCAAAAAACCATAAAAGAAGACTAAATTGGTACAAAATCGAAGAAGAAGACGTTGAAACGTTTACAGCTGACACTGCTAAGCAAATAATACGCCAAGTGAGGGATTCTTTTCCAAACCCTGTCTACCCAATGAGACAAAGTAATGAAACTATCTACGTTGACTCTGAGAAGGAAAATGAGTTTGTTGTTGATTTCCTGGAGAAAGAATTTGGCAGCGACTTGAAGTCTTCTAAGAATGTCGGCGACCTGCTGGAAAGACTGAAAGAGGAAAATGGCACACTCGTGGACCAGGTTATATTTGCTTTTAATTTGGCTTGAAGTTTACTGAAACTAAACTAAATCGCATTGAGAAAACCTACTACAATTGATCATGCTTTTTACTCTAACGTTGGTTCTGGGGTTTTATGGCTTTCGAATGGTATCTGTATCTTTTGACAAAACTATTAAATATTTGCCCAATATGTACAATTCAGGATCAATAAAACTGTATTAGAAGCGCAAATCTGATAAGAGATCGCACAGAATCGTTACAACACATACAAAGACTGGTATCGTTTTTCAACACTAGCTGGTTGGGACAAAATGCTGGGTTGACGTTGCTTACCACCACTGTAGTGATGTTCCCTCTCAAATAATTTTTAATTGCTCCAATATTCGAACTATTATAAAAAGTTTCTACATGTCACTTTCCTTCCAGACTTAGTAATAATCGAAATAAAACATTTGTTAATTTAATGCCAGGTATAGTGTAAAATAATATAAGTGATAAAGTACTTCTGATGTTTTGTGTGTGTGTTTTGAATAATATGTATATGTGTGGGTGAGAAATGTGAACACTGTTTCATTTGTGTCATTCAGGTTCAGACTGTGTGCAGTTTGGTGCCACCTCGAGTTTCAGCAGTGCTGTCTGCTGCAGCAAAGGCCAGATGTTCCTTGGGGGACCTACTGCAGAAAGAGCAGTGCATCTCCAACATGTTGGACCAGGTGTATACCAATGAATGTTACCATAAGTACCAATCAAAGAGAATGTTAGTTATTCTCATGTATTTGTCTGTATAAATCACTTATGCTTATTTAAGTAATTTTCTACTATACTTAGTCACTTGGCTGGACTAGTTTTTTTTTTTAAATTGATTTATTTACATTTTCAGCAGGTGTGGATGCCTTTTTAACAGCTACAATATTAGCAACTGCTCAGCTGCAGTTCCAAGTGAACAACTGCTGCAGGCCACTGGTTTGCCAGGAATTCTTGTGACTGTACGAAAAAGCAACTCCTTCCCATGAAATCCAGAAATTGGAAAAAAAAAATGTGGCAACAATAAACAAACTTTTTTTTATTTCTGTAATTTATAAGGGTAAATAGCTACAGTTGTCACATTGGTCTAATGAAGTGGTTCAACTGGTATATTGATATCACTGTCATTGTGTCATAGTTGTTTCACATCAAATTGCCATCACAGAATTTTTAGCCATCTTGCTGGTACAACCTCACTTGTAATTGAAAACAATCTAAACTGAGGTGAGTTTGAGAGGGGAGTAGCTAGTATTTGAAAAGGGTCGAGAGAGGAATTTTGAATATGACACTGAAACACAGTTTTGCATGTGTCAAGTTCTAGTACTTTCATAGATGTAGACTGTTATGTTAGAAGCAGAAGGCACAGACAGTAGTTTAAGTACTTGAATGTAAAATAATTTTTCTTTTTCCCAAGCAGACCAAATATGTCTAACTTTTACATGATGGCTCTCGCCTTAATTTGCACATCCCCAGCTCACATGGCACCTTGTATTTTAAACATACTTTTGAGACCTCATAACATTGGGATTTTCAAAGAACCATCCACATGTTAAAGAGGTTTATTGGCTTTAGGCAATGATTTGCTTTGTGATGTTGTGAAATGACTGAAGCCTTACTGGGTTATTGTCTTTTTTTTTTGGCACTTTTTATATCTGTCTTGTAGAACCTACAAGGAGCCAAACTGTGGATGGATGATCTTAGCCAGATGTGTGACCAAGTAGACTATGTAAAGAGACACATGAATTACCTTGGGGTCCTTCATCACATACAGGAACTCAGGTAATATGAATGTGGATAAATTGTAAGAGGCACTTTCACGTTACCAGGAAAAAAAAAAATTCATGAGGAAACGCCTGCTCTTTGTTTGAATGCCAAGGAATGAAAATCTGACATAATCTGTGCTGGGTCTTTTTAAAAAAAGTTTGTTTTTCAAGGAGAAAAATAAATTAATATACAAATTAAAGAACTCACCCGGAAACTTACAGATAAACCCTATCAGTACATCACAAGCACCTGTGAAAAATATGATAGATATTTGCAAGAAACTGTGTATAGAGCTAACAGAGATACACAGAGCAATGGTGGGCCACACAGTCCTTTCTGAAACGGTTGCAGTACAGGGTCCCACATCTTGCGTCTCCTCTGCCTTCATTAAAAAGTCTCAGTCTCTCCAGGTGAAGCATATTTGCCATTTTTCTCAACCATAGATTGTATGTGGGTGCAATGTCCAACTTCCACAACCAGAGAAATAACTTCTTTGCAATCAGAGTTCTGACTAGGACAGGTTTTTTTCTCATATTTATTGGCAGAAGAAAAAAGGGAAGTTGCCCTGAGAATAGCCATAAGTGTATCCGACTCCTAACATTTCATATTGACCTTGGAGATGGAGTAAAATATACTTTCCAATATGTGTGCAATTTACTGCTTAACCATAAAGAAGGCGCTAAATCACGAGTTGTGCAGTTTTTCTTTACATTTGTATAGCCTATGCAATGTCTTAAACTGAATAATGTTTACTTTTCTAACATTCGTCTCATATTGCATCTTCCAGTTCTGCATTCAGTTAATCTGTCCATGTCTAAGACTTGCTTATTTCAACTGGATATTGTTGTGCAAGATCCGGTAAAAGACTGAAACCGCCCCTTTAGCTGCGGGGTCAAATTTTTTTATCGTCTCAAGGGCTACATGCTCTCCCTAATTCGGGTATAATACGTCTTGAAGGAAAATTGTCTGCATATAACGAAAGATGATGTTTATAACCAAAGATGTTAATGGGAGAAGTTAAAGGGCTCTGTCTGATACTAGCGGAGAGTGGTTTGATGATAATTGCAAACAAAGGGGGGGGGGGGGACCTTGCCGGGTCCCACGGTGGACTGCCAATGGAAGGGAGATATTCATATTCTGAGTAGCATTAACTGATGCGGTTGGACGTGAAGAAATTTTGAGTCCATTTTATGAAAAAGGGTCCAAATCCAATTTTTTCTGAGCACAGAAAGCATGTAGGGCCATTCTACTTGATCAAATGTGTGTATACTTTGCATACACACAGATGTTGAAATATGTCTACCAGGCATAAAGCCGGTTTGATCTAGATACTGAGCATATACATTTTTTAAAATCTACTGGCCAGAATTTTTCCATGGACTTTGGTCTCAATGGATCGTAATAAGACCGGGTGATAGGATAACCCCACCCGATGGTAATGGCCAGACATTGTGATTAATTAGATATTGGCTCTGTATAAGGTAGGTGGCAAACCCAAAATTCTCATTGTGTTGTTTAACATGCACAAGATCTTAGGTGACAACTTTTTATTTTTTAATTATTTCTGTTCTAAAATATTTATTTTAAAAATATTTTTTTAATTGAAATAAATTCTACGCTTAATGCATCTGAACCTGGCGCCTTGTTATTGGGGAAGGAAGAGATAACCTGCATGTTCTCATCCAGATTGATGTCTTTGTCCAGCATATCAGTCGAGTGCCGTGATAGTTTGGGTAAATCCAGATTCTCAAAAATGTATTGAAAGCATTATAATCTAGGTCGCTCTGTGACTGTTAGACATTAGCATAGAAATCTGCAAAACGATCATTAATCTGCTTTGGGTCCGTGAGCAAGGTACCTCTCTCAGACTTAATACAATGTAGCCAATACAGCCTTTTCCATTTGAATGGTAACCAGAGAGTTCTGTCTAGGAATAAAAATTGCACCCAGTTTTGACCAAATAAATCTAACTTCTCACCCAGTTTGAACACATTCAGCTAGACTTGGAAAGATTTTATATTATTCTTCTGTCCTGGATGGGTTGAATTGCTCTTTTAAAAAACATTTTTCTTAGACGGCTTTACCCAATAGAAATTATCGTATGGGTATATTTAAAATGGCTGCATAACGTGGGGGGGTCCTTGACCTCCCAGCTATTCAGATTAATCTACTTGGTGATCACTTGCTGATAGGGTGCCTAAAAAGGCTTCTTCACTCTGTATGCACATGGCAAGCTCTATGTCTCACTGTCTCTAAAATTTGTACTTTTTATGTTTTAAAGAAAGCAAAGTCTCTTAAATTGGTCTGCAACAACCCAATTACTGTAACCACAGTTACGGGGTGGCAGACAATTAGAAAATTAGAGGGTACATCCTAACTACCTCAAATTTCTTACTCTATCTTGTAATGATCCAGATTTCTTGTCGTGAATAATTTATAACTATAAAATCTCACATTTCGAGACTTGATGGAAAATTCTACTCTGTTATTCAATGAACAAATTGGAAAATATAATGCCTCTCAAGCAAGGATTTTTTTTCCCGTACCTACAGGTTAGAGATGGTATCGGGAAGAATTCTACACTGCTAGTCTGTTAGGATATATCAGAAAAAGAAAGACAACTTTTTTTATTTTCCTTTTAACCAAATCAGTTAGCATATTCTATAGTGCTCTTAAATATCACAATACAAGTAAAACATCTCATTTGAAGGATCTGTGTGCAAGGGAACTTGACAAAGATTGACTGACAAAGCAAACGATGACTGGATTAATGCCTGGAAAAATGTAAAAACTTTGTGTCTGCAACACAGTCAAAGCAACTCATCTTCTTATTCTTTACAGAACAAACATCTCGTCACGCTAAAGGCAAAAATCTACCTGGTCCACACAATGTTTAAAATATAAAACTGAGGTAATCTTCCACATTCTGATCTTGCATTAAAGTAATTCTGGAAGATCATTGGTTGGTAAAATAACAGAATTAAGTTCAACAATAATGCCTTATTTTTATTACTGGGAATAACTGTAATAATAATATTATTCCTTTCTCTTTTTTATATAAAAGAGATGTATGCTTCGAAAAAAAATTGGAGCTTTAGAGCGCCAGGTAGTCCTTTTTCCCTGAGATTATGAACATGAATAAAACAAGGCAAATACCTGACATATTGCCAACAATTGGTGTCAGTCTCTCCTAAACTGCTACCCACCAAGGCATGTAAGGTACTTGACTTTTTTTCAGACTAGATTTAAGAACTTTGACGGCAGACATTGGCAAGCAGGTTTCACTGAATCTGTTATATGGGCCCTTTTGCTGTCCATAACAAGCAATGCTTTTTTTTCTGTGAATCCCTGGTCGCTTGGCGTAGCATTCTTAGCCGGTCCTCGATTAGGCTCTCCATCTTCCAATCTTTCTGCTGCTCAGAACACAAGTAAAATGCGTTCTTTTATGGCCATTTGTTTTCAGTGTGATGAATCACCATTTTTATTAACAGTCCAAGTAAGAGGTAGAGCAGACGTCAAATGTACTTTGACATCCGTATTTATGACATCAACTGGTCCAATGAAATGATCCGCTACCTGTTTTTAAGTGAATTTGAGAACGTTTGTACATTTATCCTTGTAGTCGGAAGGGAGTTGCTGACACAGAGTTATTCATGCCCTGACGGACAGCCCTTTTCGAACCTTAAATCCAAAACGTCTCTAAAATTTACAATCTTCATTTTGATGGTGATTGCTTTGGCTTCAGTGTTACCTGAACGCCGCAGCCACCTGCTCTTTGTGTGTTCATGTAGTCTTCAAAAAAGTTTCTATGTTTGTGCCATCTGCTGTGATAACCTCTGAAACCCTTCTTTTTACATTGACTCAGTTCTTCATGACGGCATCACCACATTCTCACTATCGATTTATTGATGCCAACATTACAATGCCAAGAGTGCTACAGCTCTAGTTCTACTCGAACAGCCAGATCGATTGCCTTTAACTTGCAAGCTGCATGTGTTTTCCATGTTAAGGGCGAGTAGAAATGACTACAATAAATTCGTAGTTTTGCTGTGTTTGATTTATCGTACAACTTTGACAACTGTGAACTATTTGTTAATTTCAAATGTTCTTAGCGGCATAAAAAAGAAAAAAAAACATAAATGCCGCACTCTAGTATAAACTGCAGGCTTCAAAGTGTTGGGGGGGTGGGGGAGGTTTATAGTCCACAATTCATGGTGCCTGTGTATAAAGAACGAAATGGCCTTGGACCAAAATGTATCTTTGAATTACGTGTACAATATAAAGCTCCCAGAATCCTCAGATCATATGGAAAAGCTTTACCGTATTTTCACGACCTAAAGGCGCACCGCAGTCTCAGTTATGTGTGCCATTACTGTATTTAACACACACATAGGGCGCACCGGATTCTAGGGCGCGGGGTTTATATACCGGTACATATCCTCTACTACGTTTAAATACCTCTACTGCGTATTTAAAAATAGAGCGGGTGCAAAACTGAGTATGTTTGTGCTTTATTCATGTATTTATTACAAAGTATTAATCAAACCCATCGAAGTCATCATCCTCTGTTTCTGAAATAAACAGCTGCGCTAAATCAGACATGCCAATTTCCCCTTCTTCGCTATCAGTCACTTTCCGTGCCGTGCGGCTCCTCGGAAATGATGCCGGCCTTTGCGAAAGCTCGAACAACAGTGCCAGCAGACACGTTAGCCCAAGGATCTACAATCCATCCGCAAACTGTGACGTAACTTGCCTGGCGCTGCCTTCCACTTTTCGTGAAACTGTGATCTCCATCGGTCATCCATCGCTCCCACGCCGCTCGCAGCCTTACATTGTACGGCCGGTTCACACCGATGTCGAGCGGTTGAAGTTCCTTCGTCAGACCTCCCGCTAGTGTTACTGCTTTTAGTCGAACAGTGACCGTCGAAACGCTCGCCCCACTCGTTCTTTGCTCGATGATCCACCGCTGAAGTCTTTCCTCCAACTCGGGCCACCTCGCCTTATGTCCGCGGAAATTCAGCTGCGTCTTCTTCACCTGTCGGAGTTCGTTTTCCATCTTCCTCCACTTGCGAACCATCGATTTATTAATCTTGAATTCTCTCGCGGCTGCTCGATTTCCATGTTCCTCTGCGTAGCTGATAGCCTACAGTCAAACTGTGCTTCATAGGCTTGTCTCTTTTGCCATTTTCAGGGTTGTTAAGACAACAATGTTCTGCATAAAGCACATACCTTTTCTTTTATACACAATCCACGCCCACACTTCCCCCTTTAACGTTCTCATGGTGGTCTCAACAACGTCTGCAGTAACAAAACACATAGGGTGCACCGCACTATAGGGCGCGCCGCACATTTTGAGGGAAAAAAAAGACGTTTATATGCGCCTTATAGTCGTGAAAATACGGTACTCTGTGTTCCCACGATGAAAACCAAACGAGTTTATGCAGCTATTAGTTTCTTTGCTCTCCACCTATGGAATAACCTTCTGTGATATCTTGAGATCAGCAGAAACTGTATATCTCTTTAAAGTGCCTTTTTATGCTGTATGGTGAGAATAATGTGAATTTTGTTGCAGTGGTGCAGTCCAGCAGTGTTTGATGATCAACAGTGTCTGGGAAGCTATAAGGGCAGTGGATAGCATGGCAGTACTGTACTCTGGATTGGACCAGTCAAAATGTTCGCATCTTCAAAACTTTCTCAGAGAAACACTTTGTTTCTGGCACAATATCATCAAGGAGCGTCTGACCAGGTCTACCTTCACCCAGTTACTCTGTACAGCTCTTTTATGTGTCTTTTTGTCTAAATATGCAAAAGTTAAACTGAAAAACGTGTACTGTGTCATAATCTTGCACACAACTAATTTATCCTTTTTTATTCTTCAACAGTGATTTTGACAAAATATTAGCTCAACTTCATTGGCCAATCATTTCTCCCTCGACTCAGACACTGACGGTCAGTTGCAGTAATCAGGAAATCGCCAGCCAGTTGGAAGTTGTTGTCACGCAGCTGCTTGCACTGCAGATCTCATATCCTTTCACTAAGATATGCTCAGAAGTTAACCGTTTTTTTTATATATATGTATGTATATATCAAAATAGGATGGATTTGAAATACACTTTTTTTCCTTAACTTTCTCTGGCACTGATGACATCATATACTCTTTACAAGGCATGCCCTCTCCTCAGTCAGTGTCTTCAGCAACACCTCCATCACAGGCACCTCCTCTGTGTTTACCCATTCAGATCATGCTCTTGCCACTCAGCAGAAGGTTCAGATATCATTTCTATGGAAATCGACAAACAAACTCACTAAGCAAGGTTTTTGCACACCCAACACACACAGAACTTAGATTTATTAGAAGAAACTACCAAGCAGCAGGTCAAACGTTATTGGAAATAAAACACGAAAACTGTCTAACTTCAACAACACTTTTGTAGAGAGTTAGATTTTTCATGTTGATTTTGACTTGATGAAAAGTCATTTCCTCATGTTGTGAGGGTACCTTAAATATGAAAGTTGGCAAATGGCCATTGGGTGCATCTTTGGTTAATGCCTGTGTGGCCACTGTCAAATTCATTCAACATAATATTTGAAAAATTTAGCATAAGTCTTTGCTGCATTTGTCTGTTAGAGAATTTGAATTTGATACTCAGCACAGTAAATAAATGTGCTAATAAATGTATATTTTCCCTCATCTCCTGAGGGGAAATGTAACTAAAATACAGAACTTTTTCTCTCATTCTAAGAAATGGAGGACAAACTATTTAAGTGTTATGGAGAATATTTTAATATAGGATCTAGAGTAATGAAGCAATGTACTTGTACAGCTTGTACTTGATCCCATCTCATAATAATCTCGCATAGTACGTTTCTTATTTCAGTTTAACATGCTTTCCAACAACAGAAGTTTTCCTTTTTAGATGTGAAAAATGTACTTATTTCTTTGCTTTCTTCCAAGTAACTTTAACTGTAAGATCACTTTGTCTGATGTCTGATTAAATTAAACTCTGATAACTTAGAAGTAATACTTTTCTAAAGGTTACAAAAAATCACATTTACCAAAAAAATTGTATAATCTCAGAGTAATCTGGATTAACCTGTTTTTTTTCCAGCCGGAATGGTATCTCACTCAGATTCTGATATGGATGGGGAACAGCTCAACTTTCATGGAGGAAAAGATCCAACCTGTCTTTGAACAAGCTGGTGCAACTGTCAATGCCAGGGTATATATTTTTATAATTATTTATTATTGAAAAAATCATACATTTTGTTTGTGAGTTTTTACTTTTTTTTATTATAAAAATGGCTTACTGTGAATGGTTTTTAAACATTTTCATATTGTTAGGACAGGTCCATGTTTCCATTGTGTGGTTTCACTTTGACAACGGTAAACACTGACATGTCCCACCAGGGGCCAACAGTGGTATACCAGTAGGTTTTCTTTTTACAATTTACCATAAACATTTTTGAATTTAAGAAACTGGTTCATTGAATTTGAGGAAAGAGGTCTGTTTGCATATTCTTGTCATATAGGATTCTTTCTGAAAATCCTGAGTCGTTTATTGACACAAGTTGTGTTTTATGATGTCAAATATTCTAATTTGGGGAAAGATCTGGATTACAGGCAGGCAAATGCATCACCTTGGACCTGCATGGATTTTCTACTGAAACACATAGTATGCACAAAAGATTTCAGATGAATAAATCTCTGCACACTTGAATTCAAGCATATTTCCTTTGTGCATACCAATTAGTGTGGAAATAAGCGCACGTTTTGAAGTACCCGACACCTATCTGTCCCCACCCTTATTTAAATATGCAAATCATATTAAAAGAAATCCTGTACCTGAAATCCCCCCCTCTGCACGATCAGTAAAATAGAATTTCATGGAAAGCAAATGGAGGTGCTATGAACTGAAGTGAATACTAGTACAATAAGAAATCTTTAGAGTAGTAGGGAACATAATTAATTACCTAGATCAACTGATTATTGTAAATGTACTTAGGAAAAAGTTAAATCTGTGTCCTAGCCTCTTTTACATGGCTGACATCAAATGTTGGTGAGCCAGAATCGTCAATGGCCTCTTGTCTAGGATTCACATTCATGGATTCAGCTTCTGGTTCTACTGGTGGAGGGATTTGCTGCTCGGGCAATATATGTATGTATGTATCAGCCTTGGGCTCTTATTCCTCAGAGAATCTCCACCAAAATAGTGTCTAATGGACATATTCTTTGGCTGAAAGCATCCAAGTCATATTGGCCAGTACGATCTGACATGATCAGGCCAGCTCCCAATTCATGCAGGTTCAACTGGAATGTGACAAGAAATGTGAGTGTTGTCCTTGAAGACATTTATTTAATGTCTCATGGGAAATGGGGAAAAATTGGGAGGTACAACTATAGACATAACATGAGTTCAGTGTCCGAGTGTAATTCTGAAAATGAACTAAAGTATTAGTAAATCCACATATCATATATCCATCCATCCATCCATCTTCCACCGCTTATTCGGTTTCGGGTCGCGGGGGCATCAGCCGAAGCAAGGAAACCCAGACTTCCTTCTCCCCTGCCACTTCTGCCAGCTCCTCCGGGGGGATCCAGAGGCATTCCAGGGCCAGCCAAGATGCATAGTCCCTCCAGCATGTCCTGGGTCTTCCTCTGGGCCTCCTCCCAGTGGGGCGTGCCCGGAACACCTAACCAGGGAGGCGACCTGGAAGCATCCTAAACAGATGCCACCTCAACTGGCTCCTCTCGACGTGGAGGAGCAGCGGCTCTACTCTGAGCCCCTCCTGGATGGCCGAGCTTCTCACCCTGTCTCTAAGGGAGAGCCCAGCCAGCCTGTGGAGGAAACTCATTTCGGCCGCTTGTATCCGCGATCTCGTTCTTTCGGTAGCTACCCAAAGTTCGTGGCCATAGATGAAGGTGGGACGTAGATCGACTGATAAATCGAGAGCTTCGCTTTTAAGCTAAGCTATCTCTTCATCATGACCTACCGGTACAGCGCCCGCATTACTGCAGACGCCGCACCACTCACCTATCAATCGCACGCTCCCTACCCCCATTCGCGAACAAGATCGCGAGGTACTTGAACTCCTCCACTTGGGGAACGACATCCCCCCTGACTTGGAGAAGGCACTCTGCCCTTTTCTGGTGACAGACCATGGTCTCGAACTTGGAGGCACTGATCCTCATCCCAGCTGCTTTGCACTCTGTTGCGAACCACTCCAGCGAGAGCTGTAGGTCACGACTCGATAAAGCCAACTGGACAACATAATCTGCAAAAAGCAGAGACGTGAAGGCCTCCAAGACGGACACCCTCGACACCTCGGCTGCGCCGGTCATGCAGGGACTGAACAGCCCGTAACAAAGGGCCCGGTACCCCATACTCCCTGAGCACCCCCCACAGGATAACCCAAGGGACACGTTTGAACGCCTTCTCCAAGTCCACAAAACACATGTGGACTGGTTGAGCGAACTCCCATGCACTCTCCAGGACCCCGCTGATTGTATGGGGCTGGTCCAGCGTTCTACGGCCAGAAAGAACTCGACTATCCAATGGATGCTCCTCTTCAGAACCGCCATATGGAAGTCGTTTTCCATGGCCTCCCCCCATGCCCAAGTTTTTGCCTCGGCAACCACCCGGGACAAGCATGCCACTTGGACTGCCGATACCCATCAGCTGCCTCTGGAGTCCCACTGGCCAAAAAGGCCTGGTAGGACTCCTCCTTCAGCCTGACGGCATCCCTCACCGCTGGTGTCCATGAGCGGGTTTGAGGGTTACCACCATGACAAGCACCAACAACCCTGTGACCGCAGGTCCGGGAAGCCGCGTCAACAATGGAGGCACGGAACATGACCCACTCAGACTCATTGTCCCCCGCCTCCCCCGGAACGTGCTCGAAGCTCTCCCGGAGGTGGGAGTTAAAGCTCCCCCTAACAAGGCACTCAGCCAGACGCTCCCAACAGACCCTCACAATGCATTTGGGCCTGCCTGGTCTCACCGGCATCCGCCCCCACCATTGGAACCAACTCACCACCAGGAAGTGGTCAGTGGAACTCACTTTTCTCAGCGATCGACACCTCTCACCGGGGGCAACTCCAGAGTAAAAGAGCATCCAAACCCTCTCAATAAGGCTGGTTCCAGAGCCAGATCTGTGCGTCCAGGCCAGACCAACTATGTCCAGCCGGAATCTCTCCGCCTCACGCACCAACTCAGGCCCCTTCCCCACCAGAGAGGTGACATTCCATGTCCCTAGAGCCAGCTTCTGCAGCCGGGGAACAGTTCGCCAAGGTACCCTACTCCGGCTGCCACCTGTTCCACAATGCACTATGGGTGGTGGGGCCAATGGAGGGGGGATCCATGTGGCCTCTTTGGGTTGAGCTCAGCCATGCTTTATGGGCTAAAACCCGGCCACCAGGCGCTCGCCAACGTGCCCCACCTCTCGGCCTGGCTCCAGGGTGTGGCCCCGGTGACCCGTGTCCGGGCAAGGGGGCACTAGGTCCATTTATGTTTTTCTTCATAGGGGTCTTTTGGGCTGCGCTTCATCTGATCCCTCACGTAGGACCTGTTTTCCTTGAGTGACCCTACCAGGGGCTTGAAGCCCGGACAACATGGCTCCTAGGATCATTGGGAAACTCTAACCCCTCCACCACAATAAGGTGGCAGCCCAGGTCATCACATGTCATCACATGTGATCGCATGTCATCACATGTGATCACATGTCATTGTTGCAAATTAGTGTGGATGTGCTCCAGGTAATTGATGAGTCTGATTAAAGCAATTCACGCACTAGGTACAGGGTTATTAACATGAGAAATCTGCAAACAGAAACAATCAAGGGCTTGCTAGAAACACCTTAACTATGATTTATCTAGCAAAAAAGAGCAAGTCACTCACTTTAAATACTGACTAGTAATGGTGTTGTGAAGATGGGATAGAATGTGTGCACATATTCAATACACACCACCCAACGCTTACTGTGTGATTTTGTTCCCAACTATTCTATTAATCAGAATATTGGACTTGATTGTTGAACCAGGCCACCTCACCACAATGTTGGTTAATTAGGTTTGAACATAACATGATCTGTACATCTATCAAATTATAGTGTTTTTGTCGACTTGCACAAATGAATCACGTGATGGTGTTTTTATAGCAACGTATGTGCATTAGATGGCTCTGATTACATCCGGAAAGTCAGCTCTCACTACAAATTAAGCTTTAAAGTTGACCAGTTCAGTTGAGTTGTATGGGAATTGGCTGACATACGAATAATTCTGTTCCATACGGCTAGTAACACTCCGTCGGAAAAGTAATTGTTTTCACATTTATTTAATATATCAATCCTCCAGCATCACCGCTTAAAGGATTACCAAAGGATAAAAAAAACTGATGAAACATGAAGCACCTGCGGTGAAGGTTTTGGGAGGCACCACACATTTCCAGTCATTTCACCCATAATACATCTGTATTTACCGTGAAAAAGATCTTGCACCACATTTTTGTGCGTAACCAGTTTTAAACAGGTTCCCTGGATCTTTCTGCAACAAGCTACTGCTGTTGCCACAAATGATAAATGTCATCCTCAGTGCTTCTACAGTTCTGAACTACATGGTAGTTTGTCAACTGTAGATTTAGTTTTTGAGGAAGTCCAGTTACCTTTACTGGGGCTCTCAGTATCTTTACCCAACTGTTTGACTTCTCTGTTGCAAAGTAACTTACTGGTTGAAACTTGTTTTAGGGCAATAAGTAACAAACTCTAGCCCTTGTATCTGTTGTATCGGTTATAAACCTTTAGCTTGAATGTCTTTTAAACATTTACGTGATAATTGTAAACAAACTACCGTAATTGTATTTCCATTTGTGTGCAGGTGGAGTTGTATCGTGGCATGGTGTCTCTTGTCCAGGAAAAGGTAGCAAGTGATGCTTCCAGGCTGCTGTATGACGATGTGCAATTCTGCCACTTAGTGGAGGAGGTGCTACAGTTTGAGAAGGAGCTACGAAACAATCATTCATACCCTGCAGTACTGCCTGGTCTGCTTCACATACTACTTGAGGATACAGTCCTTCAGAAGTGGCTCACGGTAGAAAAGAAAAGTGAGTTGCCATGTCTTAGTGTAGCTGCAGAGACATATGATCTAATTATCATCTATTATTTTCTATGCAATTATCTATGATTATCCTGCTTTGTTAACTATATAGAGACTTTATAAAGCATAGATGATTACATTTATAGAATAACTGCAAAAAATAAAAGAATAAGTTAACTGATATCTTATGAATAGCTAAACAGGTTTACTACTGTAAATTATTAGATGGAAAAAAACATATTTCTTAATGTAGAAAATTATATTATCAGGAAAATATCTGGAATAAATCGTTTTCCACAGTTTAAAACTTTATTTTTTCTTACAAATAATGATGAAAGTTTTGAAGAGAGTAATAATGTGGCTCATAGTTTAAACGGTTTGAAAAAATCCCCAATCCTGACATTAATCATCAGAAATCCTTATTTAACTTTTCTCACTGCAGCGAGAGACAGAACCTATAGACATTGTCAACAAATGCATCAACTGACTGTTATGGCATTGATATGACAATAATTAAGAAGGTAACTGATGTCAATTATTCATTCTCTGACTTAAATCTGTAATCTGTCCTTTCAAACATCCATATAACTCTCGAGACTGACACCATTTCACAAATTGAAGGCCTGTTTCTATGCTTCCACAATTTTCCAAAATTTTGGGGAAATTATTTGTAGATAGATTTGATATATTGGTTTAAAAACATAAACCACTCTCTGAAAGTCTATATTTAGATCATGAGGATCCAAAACAATGCAAAATAATATTTTGACTTAAGATATGGTTTGAAATTGAATTAACATTAAACATGGATAGAACTAAGTTTGTTGTTTGAAAACTGCAAAAGCAAAACAAATTTGCAAATGCTAATAGATGATGTGTCAGTGGAGAGACTTAATGAAAATAAGTGCACCTCGGCTGGCTTGCCAGCATTGGTGCGGGAAACTCAGATGCCAATGTGTTTCTTTGCATGTACTCACAGTGGCAGTAGAGAAGATGGATACCATGCTGTCAGCTGACGGTGCATGGAGCTCCCAGTATAAAGATATCAATGACATGGATGAGCTGAAGGCTCCAGATTGTGCTGAGACATTCATGACTCTGCTACAAGTCATCACTGGTAAGACTGATACTTTTGGCAATTCCACTTCCATGCAATTTCAGCGGTTTGATACAATGGGGAAAAAGGATACAATGCCTATCTGTTCAAGCCAGGAACCTTTTTTCTGTGAGTTAGAAACAAATTACACTTTTAAACGAGTCTCAAAGCCTTCAGCTATGCATAAATAACTTTTCTCTTCAAAATATTCAGCCATTTTTTTATATTACAGTTCATTGAACTTTCAGCTACTTCAAATGTATATTTCCTATAGAGCCAAGTTAGAGTGGGAGATCAAAAGGGTCACTCTAGATTTTTAGCCAGTTCGATTCATGAAAATTCTTCAAACTCCTTCAGATTACTTCCACATGCTTTAACTTTCATACACATATTATACCTTAAAATGTACGACAATTTGTCCTCTTTCAGCCAAGGTAAGTTTAAAATCATTTAAGCTTTTAAATTTTGAAGTACCAAGATTACATTGAAAACCAATACCAAAATCGGACCACGAACTTGAACAGGTCAGAAAAGTCCCTTATTTTGAAATCGCTCCCGTTGGCCCATTTCTGGCTAAATTTAAAAATGAAAAAGGCCGATGCGATCCTGAATCTCTCCAGGGATGTATCTCAGAGGCTCCAGCTGGCTGTCACCATGACTACTAAAGACTGCGCTGCTCTGAGTGTCATTCACGCACAAATATGCAGCCAGCATATAGAAACAGACAGTAATACATAGGGACACAAACATTTAATGCAGCAAACACGAAACCAGTCATGATGAACTGTCCAGCTCGGTCTTAAACCTCCACTTTAAGTTTTCTGTGTCTCATGTTAAACTTAATTGTGATAATTTCCAAACTGTCTTCTGTCTGTTTTTTCTCTTTTTCACTCTTTAGAAAAGTGTTAATCTGATTTGTTTGACATTTCCCAATAAAACTCTTTAGTCTTCAAATGGTCTTGAGCCGCTCCTCAAATATAGCTGTTCCTGACCATTGACCTTCTTCATACTGTACTGCTTAGCTTGATGTAAAAATTCATTTAACTTGAATTCAGATGTGTTTGAGCTTCAGCTTGGCCTTTTTTGTCCTTGTTAGGGTTTTTCTTACCTCCCTGACTAGAATGCCTTATGTTTAAAAGAGCCACAAAGAGACAAACGTTTGTCTTTCTTGACTTCTGCAGAAGGGGAGAGCTCTCTCAATACGAAGATCATGCAACTCCAAAGTTCCTGCTGCAGTAGTCTATTTTTATTAAAGCTGGGAAGGACAGTTGTTACTCAACATATGATAGTCCATGATTTAAAAGAACACTCAACATAGTTGAAAAGCCAATTCGGCATGATTGAATCAGTATGATTGAAAAGTTTGACACAGGACATTCGAAGTGAGACACAAAACATTTTATGAAATAACATCAAACCTCTAACAGTCCTTTTCTCTAATAATTTGTCCCAGTAAATTTTCCCTGTTTTCCAGTCGGTTAGAATCTTTTGGTACCTCCAGGACAGTTTCATGGCCTTTTACTAATTTTTTTCTTCTTCTAATCCTTTTGCCATTCTTCTTCAACTCTTCAGGTTATCTTTAAAGTATCCCTCAGCCATTGTTCTTTCACTTTCCACTGACACTTTGCAACATTTATGTATTCTCTTGTTCTGATGGTTTCAATGTTTGTCTTTTTTGCTTTTCTTTGACATCTTCTGGTGCCTTCCTTCAGCATTAGGCATTCTCACAGCTGTTTCACAGCAACAGCCCTTTCTAGTTGGATTTTTTTTAACCTTATGTTGTTTCTTGTTATGCTTCTTCACTTTTCTTACATATTCACGGTGAGTCTTTTAACTGGTAAAACTGTGAAACCTATATACTGCATACACTAAGTCCTTGGTTGGGAAACTTACTAGTCTGGATCAGTTTGTTTTCAGAGTGTTTCCTTCCACTCCCAGAAAATGTCATGATACAAATTTACCAGTAACTTTACAGCTTCTTATTTTTCTTTAAAAATCCCATCAGAGGCACTGTTACCACATAGTCTATTATTGTTCGTGGTATCATCTTTTTTTTTTTGCCAACATATTCTTATTGAGTTTTTACACTTTGGAAATACAAGCATGTAGTTATTTGAACAGGTTCTCTTTTCAGTCATTACATGACAGTAAGTATTTAACTCAACCCAGAGAAATAAAATACAACAACAAAGAAAATAATAAAAAATAATAATAATAATAAAAAGAAGAAAAAGTCAAAAACAAAACAAAGAACACAGCTTCTCAAAAACTGGGGTATTCACAAAGATTACAAATTGGTCAGATATACTTATACACGTCTATATAACATGGCACACCACAGGTTCTGGCAAATCAGAACTCGAACAAACCCTCTGTCAAGTCTAAGTCCTTAATAAAATGAATGAAAGGCCCCCAAATCCTCTCGAAAAGATACCGTTTGGATTTCCTAATATATGTTATTCTTTCTAGCAGCAAATTAGACGACATCTGTTTTAACCACTGCCTGACACTAGGTCTATTGATATTTTTCCAAGTCAAAGCAATACAATTTTTTGCGGCCAATGAGCTTATATCTATGAAAGTGCGTTCTGATTTACTAAAGTTATGTTCCCCAGGGAATAAAGCTAGCAGAAACAATTTAGGATCCAGTGGAACTTGCTTTAAGATAATTTTTTCTATTATATCTTTCACCTCTGTCCAAAATGCTTTGATTTGTCTGCATTCCCACATGCAATGTATTAGAGTCCCTTTAGAATTACATTTTACACAAAGATCTGGGATGTTATTATTATATTTATTTAACAGCAGAGGTGTAACATAGACACGCATTAGCCATTCAAATTGTAGAATTCTAGAATTCTAAGACGACTGTTTATGGACATTGTGTGAATTTTAGTGCAAGCCTTTTCCCAATCCTGTTCACCGATATTTGATGATAAGTCAACATTCCAGTTTATAAGCTTATTATTTGAGTCCTCTAATGAGTTAGAGATCAGCACATTATAAAAATCTGAAATGATGCCCTTCCTTGATTTATTCCGAATCATTAATTTTTCAAGTAACGTAAGATTGTTGTAATTTGCTTTAACAAAGCTTCTTATCTGAAGAAATTTGAAGTAATGTTTTTTATCCAGATTAAATTTGGTTTGTAGCTCTGCAAATGACATAAATATATCAGAATTTGATGGGTAAAGGTCACCGACAGTTTTTAAACCTTGCAGCGCCCAAAGCCTAAAGGTTCCATCCGCTCTACCTGGAGCGAACAGCTGATTACCCCATATTGGGCTAAATTGGGATATGTTGTTCGGCTCCGCAAGGTAATTTCTAACATCCTGCCAGATTTTTATCATGTTTTTCAGAATAGGATTTGTAGTATTTTTCTTTAACTTCGTTGATGTGTCAGAATATATGAACAATGGAAGAGCTAAACTTAAATTGTGGGACTCCATTTCTACCCAGTGAGGATTATCTTTATCTGTAAAATAGAACATAATAGTCCTTAACTGAGTGGCCCAATAATAAAATTTAAAGTTGGGACACTTTAACCCCCCTCTATCAAATGGTAAATAAAGCAGCGAGAGGCGTAGCCTAGGCCTTCCATTATTCCACACAAAAGCCAAAATGTTTTTTTTTAGCCAATTGAATAATTCAGGAGGAGGCGGCAGTGGAATGCTTTGAAAGAGGTATAACAGCTTTGGAAGTATATTCATTTTCAGGACATTAACTCTTCCCAATATGGATATAGGCAGAGATGTCCAGTTGTCAATTGAGGCAGCTATTGTTTTCATTAAGATTTCGTAATTGGATTTGACCACCTGTTGTAGTTCTGGGAAAATCTGAACACCCAAATATATGAAATGTTCCACTACTTTAAATTGCTTAATCTCACTGATAGGGTTAATCCTTTCACCTAGATTTAATACCAGAATAGAGGATTTTGTATTATTTACTTTGTAGCCAGAGACTCTCCCAAATTCCTGGATCACTTCCATCACCGCTGGAATTGAGTTTTTTAGATCTGTTAGAAATAAAATAACATCATCAGCGAATAGAGATATTTTGTGCTCTGTGGGACCCACGGTGATCCCAGAGATTTGTGAATGGAGACGAATAGCTGATGCCAAAGGCTCGATTGCTAGTGTGAACAGTAAGGGAGATAGAGGGCATCCCTGACGACTACCCTTCCTGATTTGAATCGCCCTTGAAAATATTTTATTTGATACTATTTCCGCAGTTGGATTTTTATATAATATTTTAACCCATTTAATAAAGTTGCTACCACAATTCAATCTTTCCAATATGTTAAATAGATAGGGCCATTCAACCCTATCAAAAGCCTTCTCTGCGTCCACTGAAAGAAGAGCTGTGTCTTTAGCGTTCTTTTTGGACCAAATAATATTCAGGACCCTTCTAATATTGTGGTATCCCTGCCTCCCAACTACAAATCCATTTTGATCTTTATTAATAATATCTGGTAAGATTTTTTGCTGTCGGAATGCCAATAGTTTACAAATGATTTTGAGATCAGAGTTAAGTAGGCTGATGGGTCTCAGGTTTTCACATTTATTAGGAGGTTTAGCAGGTTTTGGCAGGAGAATAATTAGAGCCTGATTTAATGAGGGAGGCAAGGTGCCCTTTTTAAATGACTCCATGAACATGTCTAGAAGGGGACAGAGCAATTTGTCCCTAAATTTTTTGTAAAAGTCAATGGGGATGCCATCAGGTCCTGGTTGCTTACCAGATTTCATTCCATTAATGGCCTGTGCTAATTCCTCTTTATTTATTTCCATATTTAAGTCTACTCTACAATCTTCTGCAATGACAGGAATATATAGTCTACCCAAAAAAATTGTCTAATTCCACTTGGTCTAACTGTCCTTTACAGTCATATAATTTCTGATAATAATCTTTAAAAGCATTATTAATATCCCTTGGATCTATTAGAGTTTTATCCTGTGTTTCAATTGTTGTAATTGAGGTTGTTGTTTCAAGCCGTTTAATCTGCCAAGCTAGAAGTTTTCCAGCCTTATCCCCCTGTTCATAAAAGTTTTGCTTCAATCTTAAGAGACTGGATGCAGCTCTAAGACTGGACATTTTGTCATATTCTGCTCTGAGAATCAACAGCTGTTTTTTCAATTCAGTATCATTTGTTTGAAAAACCCTCTCCTGAATGTTTTTTATTTTATTTTCTAGGTGCTGCCTTTTAGTTTTGGCTTCCTTGGACTTATTGCCTGTAAAGCTAATAATATGACCTCTGATAAACGCTTTAAAGGCCTCCCATCTTATGCAAGCTGTTGTTTGATTTGTGTTACACTGAAATAACTCATCAATTTGTTGTCCTATATATTTAACAAAATCCTCATCTTGCAACCATTTATGCTGAAAACGCCATATAGGGGGATCCCTGGTAAGATTCTTATCACAGTAGCTCAGACAACATGGAGCATGATCTGAAATCACTATGTTTCCATACGTACAGTTTTGAATTTTTTATATTAGTTCTGATGAAATTAGAAAATAATCTATTCGCGAATAAGACTGAAATGTTGCTGAATAACATGAGTAGGCTCTGGTTTGTTGCTGAAGTTCCCTAAAGATGTCTACCAGTCTAAGAGTTTTCATAAACAACTGTATAGTTGTTCTACAGGTGTTATGTGTCAGATCTGACCCTGTGGATCTATTTATTTCTGGCATAAGAGTACAATTAAAATCCCCTGCGATCACTAAGCGCCCCTGCAATGATGAAAGTAAGAGGAACAAGTTTTGAAAAAACCCAGGATCATTTGTGTTAGGGCCATAAACATTAACTAAGTTAAGTTTTTCCGATAGTAAAGAGCCCTGAACTATAAAATATCTACCCTTCTTATCCTTGATAACATTGTTTACAAGAAATGGGACAGATTTGTGGATAAGAGTCATAACACCTCTGGCTCGAGAAGAAAATGTTGAAGTGAATACATTACCTCGCCACCTCCTCCTGACCCGCCCCTCATCTTTTTCCATAAGATGCGTCTCCTGTAGAAATACTATTCTGGAGTTCAGATCTTGCAGTTTATTAATGACTTGTTTGACCTTTTTTAGACGTTGTAGGCCCCTGCAGTTCCATGTAACTATCTTAAGATTTAAGGCTTGTGACATGTAAAATCCACCAAATTACCAGAAATGGAAAAGAAATAAAAAACAAAGTTTACCCCATACAAACATGAACATTTGAGAAGCTTAAACAACAGAACAAAACTCACAACATAACCCCTAAACCTAGATTCCCACATCAAGTCCAACCAAGGGACTCCCTCCCCCCTCCGTACACCTCCCGTTATCACGTGTGACCGACCCACACGCAGTGAGGAGCAGTCTAACCACTCAATAACCAAAATAAAAGTTTTATTACCGATGCTGTTCACTATATATAACAGTAACTTACTCTTCCATATATTTGCTCACGGGATCGAACTTATTAGTATGGACATCAACCAGTATGTGCACTTTTCCTTTTGCCATATCTAAGTAGAAGTAGATGCATTCATAATAAAACCCTCCTGTTCCACCACCAATACAACTGTACGATAATGGCATCAAAAAGGTTATAGGAAGCCACAAATTGTTAACTTAAGAAACCATATATGGCCTTTTTAGTCCATAGTTACCTCCTCGTTGGTTTTCTTCTGGATTTTCTGTAAAAACTCACGTGCAGCCGCTGCTGTTTTGAAAGCATGAGTTCAGTCCTGATAAGTCACCAGCAGCTTGGCTGGGTGAGCCACCCCGTGGCGCAGTCCCAGTTTGCGTAGCTCCGTGCGTATCGGGTCAAACTGCTTCCGAAGCTGGAAAAGATCCGTCGCTGTATCTGGGTAGAGCCGGATTTGATGATTCTGGTAGCGAATTTCAGTCTTAGCTCTTGATGTTACAGCAATACGCTGCTTATCCTTGTAGCTGAGAAATCTCATTATTAAGGTGCGAGGCGCTGCGGTGTTGTCTCTCCGGGGTCCAATTCGATGCGCTCTTTCCACAGCCACAGCTCCCACACCGAGGGTCTCCGGCAACCACTTCTCTAGGAACTCACATGGATTCTGCCCTTCAGCTCCCTCCGGCAGTCCGATAAGCCTTAGGTTGTTTTGTCTCGACCTAGCCTCCAGATCCGTAACTTTATCTTCCAAGACCTTCTTCTTGGACTCTAGCGCATCCACCTTAGTTCGTAGCTTTTCTATCTCACTTTCCGCATCAGAAATGCGTGTTTCGGTTTCTGTGATCCGTTGTGTACAGTCATTTATCTCTTTTCTTACGCTGTCGATGGAGCCCAGAACTTCGTCGAATCTAGAGGAGAAATCCTTCTGGATCGAATTAACAACCGAAAGTATTTCGTCCACCTTGCTGCTTTGAGACTTCGGGTTCTCTTCTCTGTCAGCGGCATCCATCGGAGCCGAGCCAGAGCTAGCATTAGCTTTCTGCATTTCACCTCGAAGTTGGTATTCTGTTAGCTTATGTTGCTTCGCCTTTTCACTTACATCTTGGGATGTTTTTGCTGCTTTAGGCATTATTCCGAACTCGCGCGCTCATTTGTAGTTTTAGTTCGTTCTGAAAGGAGGAGTTTTAGATAAATTCTTTGACTGGAACAGCAAAGCGGTAAAGGCACGTCCTTTCACATGGCCGCCATAACCGGAAGTCCATGGTATCATCTTTGGTGTGTACAATAAGATTTGTAAAACGCGTAAATTCTTCGTTACCCTGTTGGGGGTAACAAAGAATTTACGTGATTGATGTTCAAAATAAGAGTTTTAAATATTTTTTAACCCTATTATTTTTGTTATCTCTTTGTGCTACAGAACGGTATCGAACTCTGCCCTGCCCTTCAGCACAGTTCAAGTTTCTGAGGCTGCAAACAGAGCTGGTTGATGACTTCCGCATACGACTCACACAGGTAACTGTGAAACTCAAAAATGCTAAAAGTCCAAACAGAGAGATGGTAATCTTCTTTATTAGCTTCTGAGTTATATTTAAGAAATATTTCTACATGAAATAATATTTAACCTTTAAAAAAATTATTTGAGGAGATTTGCATGACAGAAAATGATAGTACTGTCTCTTTATGATGAATATTTATTTTTGTTAGGTGATGAAAGAAGAATCTCGCTACCCACTGGGTGTCCCCTATTGTGCCATCCTTAATGCTGTCAACTATATTTCTACCATCCTTAGAGACTGGGGAGATGATGTGGTTTGTATTATACATATTACAAACTTTATTTTCAAATAACAGATGTACACACATTTGTTGCATACTGCTCTGCTTCTAAATCCAAAACTGGGTAACAAGAAGAATTTGTTGTGATTGATGTAAAAAAAATTAGAGTTTTGAATCTTTTTCCCCTATTATGATTGTTATTTTGTTATCTATTGTGCCATCCTTAATGCTATCAACTATATTTCTACCATCCTGAGAGACTAGGGAGAGGATGCACTGTGTACCGTACACATTATAAAATGATTAGCCTGGGCGTATCTGTTTTCTGTTTTTATGTTTGTGCTTCTGAGTGCCTTCATGTGAAGTTTGTAATTTGTAGTAGTGACAAGGATCTGTACATTTTTATTTTTTCTTAACACATTCTGGACTATACTTTCAAATATTCAACCTGACATAGCTATAATCACATCTGATATGGTGGAGTAAAACAACTTTACTGATGAACTGTGCTTTGTCATCTATGCTTTTGAGTATTGTTTGGCTTTTTCATTAAATATGTCACCCAGGTGAAGAAGAAGAAGAAGAATCGCCTCTTTTCCCTATCCTTTTTAATAGAAATGTTCAAAAGGAAGAGAGCTAAATGCATGGAATCATGGATTTGGATGAAAGATTCAAAACTTTTGTGCTTCGATATTTTGAGCTAAATATTTTTAGGTCTTCCCAAAAAACAGTCTTGGTACAATACTATAACCCCCAAAAATTGCTGTGATGCTGATTTTCATTGAAGTCGTATGGGTGAGGGTTACACTTCTTTACAATCATATTTGTGGTATTTTATTTTTTACAGAACTTACTTAGTTTTGGACAAATGCTTGCACCAAAATGTTATGTCATTTGAATTGACCAATCTCATAACCTTCCTATTTAATAATGAGCACCAGGTTTAAAAATCAACTGTTAAATCAGAAAAATAAATGGTAAGATAATGGTGCCCTTTTTGTTTTATGTTTAGTTTTTTATGTAACTAAGGTGATTTTTTCCTATTGAATCAAAGTCCCTGGGTAAGACATTAAACCCCTAAACTCAAACCATCCATGAATATACATTAGTACGTGTAAATGTATGGGATAATGACAAAACATTGCATAGCTTACAACACTGTGTAGCCTGTAAAGTGTTTTTTGTGTTTGAATAGATAAATGTTGCTCTTGTTAATATCCGTCTGAGTGATCAACTACATGAAAAAAGTATTTATACACTACATACTTACAGTCTGTTTACCAATTTTACCAGATTGTTCTGTACTGTTGCTACAACACTGTAATTTTATTTAGCAATATCTGGTCATTGATGGTATAATAGTTGGTTTTAGATTTCCCCTTTGTTTACAGTGTGCTTTTACCCTTTCAGTTCTTTCTACAGCTGCAGCAGGCAGCTGTTTCACTGAGTGAGGAAGTGGTGCTGGGGAGCCTTGGTATGATCGAGGTTGGACGCTTGGCTTCGCTGGAGGGATCACTTTTTGATGGTCTGTTGGCACTGCTGGACAGATTGAAAGGGGACATGTTAGGAAGACTGTTGGAATATGTCATGAGAGAAATTGCAGAAAAAGCCAAACCCTTCTGTCAAGAAAGGTGAGACATGAGTTTTTAAAATTAGATACTTTATTAAATGCTGTTTAAGTGCCTTAGAATAGATTTAGAGTAGTTTGTCACATATTGTATTCACCATATGGAGGTTTAGACTTTAGTTAAGGCCTTTTAAGGCCCATTATGACCAACGTAAGAGCCACTTTTTGTCAATTTTTTTTTGGCAGAAACTTGAGCTTATTTATGGCGTTTTTCCATTTCCGCCTACTAACTCTACATGGTTTGGCCCAGCAAGGCTCTGCACAGTACAGTTTAGGTGGTTTTCCACTACAAATTACTGCTGAGCAGAAAGATAGGTCAACCAGCAAATTATGTCATCCATACGCGACACAAACGCAAGACAATTATCAAGGACATTGCGGTCATCAGCTATTCACTGACTAAACCTGGTCGTTGGACCAGTGTTGGTTTGTGTAATGGGGATCTGCAACATTTATGATTATAGAAACAATTGAATTGGACGTTTGTTGTTCCCCCATTTTTAAAATAGGTGGGGTTTACCTGATGGTGTGATTTCCCCCAGGTAATAAGCAGAGTAGGTGCCAAAAGGGGCTGACCCCTTGTGGAAATGCAAAAATACTGTTTAGAGCCATGCTGAATAGTAACTAGTTTAAATGCACCATTATAGTATGCATTGGGATCGCCATGGCTGCTCTCTATCACCTGCATTTCTTTGACAATTTTAACTCTGTAATTGTTATTGTTATGTTTTTAATCCTTTTTCTCTTGCTTTAATTTAAGAGGTCGGACAAAGATTAAAAGCTTAGAGAAATATTATTTATTTGTTACTTTTACTCCTGTGAAACCTTTAGGTGGTTGTCCCTGGCATCCCAGCAAGACCAGTCCACTATGTCCCTGTCTAGTTCAGCATGTCCCATGATGTTGTGTGTAAGGGACAGACTGCTGAATCTTCAGCAGGTCTTGAGTCTGTCTCTGTTTCAACTGGCCTGGCAGGGCTTGGCAGATCGACTTGACAACTTTCTCTACCAAGAAGTAAGGCATGCATTCCCGGTGAAAACCCCCATTTGCCTTCCTTGATCATATAATTTTGAAAACAAACTTGAAAGTAAATTAGGCTAGAGACGAGGCCTATCCCAGCTGACAACGGTAAGCAACAGGGTACACCAAGGGCGGGTCATCCATCGCAGAGCCACATAGATCAGTCCTGGGGGCAATTTGAAGTGTCCGATTGTTTTTAGATTGGTGGAGGAAGCCGAACTGTCCGGGTAGTCCTTGTCAGGGGTGGGAGAGATCTGCAACAATCTTTCTTACCTTCTGGAGGCTTACAGGTCCTTCAGAAATTGGCAAGTGGAAGCCTATCACCCTCTCTGCAGAGTGGATGATATGCTGCACCCTGCCTTTGTCTTTGATGGCCACATACCCGATGGTGATGTAGGAGGTGAGGGACGACCCTAGGATCAGTGTGAAGAAGTGCACCATCATAGTACTTGGCAGGTTTAACTTCAATGACCATCTTCACTATTTTTAGAGCATTGAGCTCCAAGTTGTCCTCGCTGCACCAAGTCACAAGATGGTATATCCCGTCTGTACACAGACTTGTCTCTTCAGAGACAGACGATGACTGGAAGCGCAGCTGTTGGTTTACAGTGGAAAGAGCAGAATAGAAAGCACACAGCTTTTGGTGGTCAGAAACATAATTTGCCAGCTGTATGTGCTGGTTCCAGTCCGACAGGAATACTAGAATCCACCTGGTGGTGGGTGCTTGCACTTTGAGAACTGGGACGATGATGTTGAAGGCAGCAGTGAAGTCCACAAAGAGGATTGTGGCATAGAAGAAGGGTTGAGGAGGGAGTCTATGCTGGATTTCAGGTGGGACAGCACAAGCACCTCAGACCACTTTATCACCACTGAGGTAAGGGCGATATGTCTGAAGTCCTTTAATCCTGAAGTCCTCCACTTCTGAACAGGGATGATGGCGGAGGCCTTGAATCATGCTAGCAAATGTGCAAATGTTATAGATGTCGTTGTACACTGGAGACAACTGATGAGTGCTGTGCTTCAGTGGAAGCCTAAACAGTCTAGCCCAGCTGCTCTTGGGGGCTTCTACCTCTTGAATAGTCGGTTAACAACTTTTTTTTGGATGGAGAGAGTCATTACTGGGGGAAGGGAGGAGGCGGGCATATAGTGTTAAGTTGTGAAAGACCTAAGGCTGAGTCACAGAGTTTGGGGTGGTGGGTGCGTTCAGGACTGTCCCTTTGTCTTCAAAAGTGGAAGTAGAAGTCTTTCAGGTCGTAGGCCAGGTGCAGGTCGTTGATGAAGTGGGGGGTTTTCAGCTTATTGTTTGTTAGCTTCCCGAGCCCTTTCCAGATTGCAGTCCTGAAAAAAAGTCTGTACATTCCAAACACTCACTTAAAATTTCCACAGCTTTATTACTCCACATCTCCACAGTGATCCAGAATTCTTTACTCTTTGTTTGGACATTTATTGAACTAAATATATTTGGGAAGTTCATGGCTGAGGTTACCTTTGTTAAAGTCACAGAACAATAACTGAGAAATGCAGGTTTTTCTGTTCGACACACAGTATGTGGTCGGCAAGTTTGTGCTGTGCACATTGGCCTGTGATGGAATGTAAACACTGAACACAAGGAATTAAGCAAACTCATTAGGGGAGTAGAAGTGTTTGTAGTTTATGAAAAAAGTTTCTAGGTACTGGGAGCAGTGCTGCACGCCCACTTTCATGTAATTACACCAGCCACTGTTTGTGTAGCAACAAATACCTCCCCCTGCATGTTGGGGAGAAATATTCCTGGTAGCAGATGGCGCATTTTGCCATCTTGAAGATATAAACCTTAGTTCACTGTTGAAACAGCTAACTACTCTGTGAAACTGATACCTGACATTGCCTAACCTACTGATAGTTTTTTACCTATACATGATATTTTTTTTAAAGATAGAGGTACAGAGAAATAATCAATGAAACTGTTCCGTTGAAATATTTGCTATTGTACAGTTGCTCAACATAAGGTCTCAGCAATTCCATTTCAACAAAATAATCTCTATCTTTATACCTCTGTTTAGGTGATCCTGTCTAATCACTTCAGTGATGGTGGAGCAGCCCAGCTTCAGTTTGACATGACCAGAAATCTATTTCCTCTATTTGGTCATTACTGTAAAAGACCTGAGAACTTCTTTAAGCAGTAAGTTGGTGTTCATTTGAATTAGTAACATGTTTTACCAGTACCATAGTTGGATTAAAAATTCCTGGTTGATTATTAAGGTATTGACAACTGTCCCATGCTTGGTTGTAAAGGTAGAGGACTAAAAATGCATAATGTGTGTTATGATTTTTCTTAGTTGTCCTGTTATTCATTTTATGCTCCAGTTTCCATTTAATATGGATTAAAGAATCTTTTTGCCATGTGCCTCATATGAGTTGAATGATAATACCAATATGCAAGTTGCATTGCACAATGCTTAGACATTTACATAATGAATATGTTGGTGAATATGTTGCAACCTTCTTTTGATGACATGGACGAAGTCAGAATCCAGGGGTCTCGTTTATAAAAGATTGCACAAGATCGATACTAAAAGTGTATGCACATCCAAAAGCCAAAAGTGGCATACACTAAAAAAAATTCCAGCTTTATAAAACCATGCATCATGCAAATTCCTCTTTATAATCCACAGCTACACCTAAATGTTGGTGTTCAAGGTTCTGCCTCATTTTTTCCCCAGTAGACGCCCAATTTCAACGATAAATGGCCAATGCAAAGCAGCTCATGAATGTCAAAGTGTATATAAAAGAGCCAGCCAAATAATGTTATTTCATTGTTGCCACTAGCAACCACAGAGAAAAGAGCAAAGAAACCAGGAATCGATGTGTTGGTGAGTGAGGTGGAGAGTTACAGAAATATCTTGTTAGGTAGATGTAGCCACTGAGTTGTGCCGGGACGAAAGAAACACATTGTGACGTTTATTTGAGTTAATTATATAGGGAAATGTAAAGGTGAAAATGGAAAAAGTGTGGCGGCGTATCTGGGCAGTGATGCATGTAGAGGAACCAGATGAGTCGGCTTGGGCATCCCTGGGCATCACCCCTTTTAAATTCCTGTTATGTAGTCCTATGCAGCCTTTCTGACAGGAGTATAGCTCAATGGTATAGTGTTTGACTCCAGTTTGAGAAGTCGCAGATTCAAATCTCACTAAAGTCTTCCACTCTTCAGTTCTTCTAACCCGTTTTGTTATTCTCCTTCAAGTCTTCATTTCTAAGTCTTTTCCAGCTTTTCTTTGGCTTCTTCTTCCTCCATTCAGCGCTTGGCATTCTGACAGCTGTTCTGCAGGAACTACAGGCATTCTCACTATTGTTTTCCTGTTTCACTGCATATTCCTATGCAGCCTAGTTGACTGGGGTATAGCTAGATGTTTGACTGCAGTTTGAGAAGTTGTCTGTTCAAATCCCATTAAAATCTTCTAATGATAATTTCATAGCCTATTACTCTTCTTCTAATCCTTTTGCCATTCTTCTTCCACTCTTCAGATCTATGTCTTTTTCAGCTTTTCTTTTGCTTCTTCTGGTTCCTCCATTCAGCATTTGGTGTTCTCACAGCTGTTCTGTAGGAACAGCCTATTCTAGTTATTGTTTTTATCCATATTTTGACAGTTTGTGTCATTATTGAGTTCCAAATAGTTTCTAATTGTGTCTACAGATTTGCTTTGGATTAAACTTTCTTGTGATCAGTCTTTGAATCTGTTAACTTCCACACAGACTTTGACTTGGCAACTCTATCAATGTTTCTGGATGTTTGAAAGGCCTCCATAATGGTTTCTTTGTAGATATTCTGCCCTTTAAGCTTTCTTGCATCAGTCATCTGTTATTGTCATTCTGGAGAGTGTGTCAAACTCTGATCTAGAAACACTAATCTAACCAAAGCCTTTCTTTTTCACATGCTTATTCTACTAAGTTCTCATTATTCTTGATGATGACGTTCAATTTATGTCATACTGTTAACACCTTACTATGTGATGTTATATTTATATAATTCATGATGGTTATATTTGCCAGCCAGCCAAGCGTTTTAACTGCCCGTCGCACTTTTAAAATTGTTCAGTTTCACTTATCTCTGAGCGTGTATATAAGATGTGGAAGACCACTGCCATTACACACAGACATGGAGCCATTCAAAATCTTTACACAAATCTTCATTTAATCTGAAAACTTCCTGGAGCTTTGGAAGAAATGTTACCATAGTCAGTCATTTACAGCCAGGACACTATTTAACAAACTTTCTCCTGCATTGAGTGTTCATTTGTATGATTCACTTAAAAAAAAAGAAACATGAAAAATACAAAGTGGCTTAAAGTATTCAAGCAACGGGAGTATCCCCACACTCAAAAGGATCAATGTTTACTGGAAAAACCAATGACATTTATTATTATCAAAAGGTTTTACAATTCCTCTTTCCCATATACTTATCTTTTGGTTGTTGATCAGTAACAGACCTCAGCTTAGAAATGTGGTATGACAGCATGTCACTATAGAAAATATTACCAAGCATATCGTAATCACATGATCGTAGAAACTTGCGTTTAGAAATTTCCTATAACACTATTTTCTGATTAAGAAATATTTATGTTTTTTTATTTCTAATTATAGTAGAATTTTAACAATTAATTAACCAAATGAGGGGTTTGGCAGTAATATGTGTGGACTAAATATTATTATTATATTTTAAGATAACTGACTTTTCTTTGTAATGCATTCATATAATGAATATACAATAAAAAAGCAAAGCGGAAAACTATACTATTTTTAACAAACCAAAAACATTTTTCAAAGGGAAAATGAAGATTGAACACTGAATGAAAGGTATAACCTTAAGTCTTGTATGATGATTTGTTTATTTTAATCTGCCTTCTCTTTTTGCAGTGTGAAGGAGGCATGCATCATCTTGTGTCTGGCTTCGGGCTCTGCTGTTCTTTTAAGATCTATCCTTAAAGAATCTGAACTCGAGACCAGAGATTGCGAAGGTACAGGGGATCCTCCACCACAGTCTGTTCTGAATGAGTTGGGGGTTTACTGTTTAGCACCCTGTGATGTGTTCATTCTTCTGAACCTCAGAGCCTCATGGCCAGGACAGTAACTTTGCATACTGGTATTACTATTTGAGAAGAATCCATCAGATTTGCAGCATGACTGCTTTCATAACCATCATGTATTTACATTTTATGTTATGTTTTATGTTATTCATAATGAAGTGTAAAATTGATCAGTTATGGATGTATAAATGATTATAACAAAATTAAAACAATAAGTTCACCCAAACAGTTTCAGTTTTTCTTTATTTATTCTATTGATGGGGTGACGACTTATTATGTTTAACCTAATTTAACGCAAAATTATTTGTACATAAGAAAAAATGTATCCTCAAAATATTTGTTAGATGTAGTAGATACGAAGTAAATGCCAATAACTAAATGTGTCAAGATAAAATTCACATCCCAGGAGGGGATGGCTAAAGAGGCTAACGATTTTTGCTTGCTCTAGGTGGAGAAGTATCAAAAACTCGAGCACCTGTGTACAGTTGAGTTGCATATCAAACCATGCCATTGTTGTGGTACAGAATAAAACATTAAAATGGAACTTTAGATGATAAAGAGTAGCAACATATAACGTATGCAGACAGAAATGATAGACGATCCCGTAGTAGACGATTGGTTATTTTGGCTTAGATACATCCATCCATCCATTATCGTTACCGCTTGTTCCATAATGGGGTCGTGGGGAGAACTGGAGCCTATCCCAATGGTCAATGGGCGAGAGGCGGGGTACACCCTGGACAGTCCGCCAGTCGATCATAGGGCCACACACAAGACCAACAAGGACGAACAACCACGCACACTCACTCCTCACTCCTGGCAATTTGGAATGTCCAATCAACCTGGGAATTGTTGGGTTTCTGTAGTTAACTTCAGAGTAGGGTCTGACCTGCTCTGTTTGGAAAGCACTGTGAGACAACTGTTGTTGTGATGTGGCGCTATATAAATTGAATTGAATTGAACCTAATATACAGGTTTTTTGGATGGTGGGAGGAAGCCAGAGAACCCAGAGAGAGAACCCACGCAGACACAGGGAGAACATGCAGACTCCACACTGAAAGGGACTCAATACATTAAACCTATAATGGCATATGTATCATATTTGATACATACAGTCTCTTTTTTTTTTTTCAAACATTTTTATTAGTTTTGTGTTTTCACAAACATAGAAAAAAAAATACAAATTGTACACTGTGCAAGCAGTTACCTTACATGAGTATGGGACATAAAACAAAAACCAACAGAAGAAAACAAACAAACACAAAGGGCAACATAAAATAAATAAATAATAATAATAAGTAAATAAATAAAAAGAAGCCGCCATACAATGTCACATTCCAGTTATATCATGTCTCTAATGGTTGCCAAACATTAACATATAGAACAGCCTGATATCGAAACAATCATAACTAGCCAGGTGATCAAAAAAAGAAAAAAGACACATAGTAATACCAAAGGAGGATGTACATTAGTTGTGACCTGGTGAAACCTTCCACTTTATAGAAGTCTGACCTCTCATCACAAGTTGTGTCAGCTCTTTAGGCAAATAGCTTAACACAGGAGACCACATATCAATGAAATGCTTCTCATTACCTTTAAGAACTGCACTAAGCCTTTCATGAGGGAGGACCCTAAATATTTCTCTATACCATTGTGTGATAGTTGGTGGTTTATCCTTAATCCAATTAATTAAAATACATTTTCTAGCTAAAAGTAGTAATTTGTCACAGAGTTTGAAGTGCAATTGTGTCAGAGTGACTGATTTTGAAGGGAGGCCAAGAAGAAACAGACCTGGGTCACATCTGATTCTTACATGAAATATGTCGCTCAGCTCTTTAGAAATTGCACCCCAGAATCGCTTAATCAGTCTGCATTGCCAGAAATAATGGTAATATGTTCCTACCTCTCTTCCACATTTATTGCACATGGGAGAGAGCTGGCGATCCATCTTATTGAGTATAAAAGGTGTTATATGTAGACGATGTAGTATTTTATACTGTGTCTCTCTGAGCGTATTACATATAAAGGTTGACTTGACCACATTAATGGCTTCTTGCCAGTCATCCTCAATGTACGCTGTGCCAAGATCTCCCTCCCATTTCCTTGCAATGTCCCCAGCACCACCTGGGGTAAGAGAGTACAGGACTGTGTAGAAAGCGGAGATAAAATGCCTAGGATTATCCCGGTCGACAAGGAACCTCTCAATCTCATTGGGCATGACCAAGCCAGAGTGAGAAAACCTCATAGAACCAATGAAATGGCGAATTTGGAGAAATCCAAAAAAGTGTTCTTTAGGGATACCAAATTTTGTCTGCAATTGTTGAAATGTCATGAGTATATTTTCTGTAAACAGATCTCCGATCACTCTCACTCCTCTGTCATGCCACAGGTAAAAAATGTTGGGCTCAAGGCCTGGGATAAAATCCTGGTTTCTCTGAGGGGTGTCAGGAGTGAGGAGCAGAGCCCACCTCCCGAGTGGTTCCAAAGTCCCTGCCACACCCTAACTGTGTTATAAATAATTGGATTATGTTTAATGTCTCTCGATAGCCTTTTCCTATCTCCGGTTGTGAGGCTCCACAAGGAAGCAGGTTGAGAGGCCCACGATTCAAGGCAAGGGTTTGAGTTAAGATGAGCGTAACCACTCCCACAGATAACGAGCATGGCAAGCCCAATTGTAATAATACAAGTTTGGCAAGGCCAAGCCACCTCTGTCCACAGGGAGCTGTAAAGCTGTGATTTTCTGCCGTGGCCTCTTGCCATGCCAAATGAATCTGGAAAATGGTCTCTCTATATCCGTAGTAACTTTTTTGGATAGCCAAAGGGGTAGCATTTGGAGGGGATATAAAAGTCGTGGGAAAATGTTCATTTTAATTAAACTTATCCGCCCCATAAGTGATAAGGGAAGGTCAAACCACCTTTCTAAGTCCCTCCTTATTTTCCGAAGTGTGGGAGAGAAGTTAAGTTTCCATAGCTCTGTCAGGTTAGGGGACACATTAATTCCAAGGTAAGTGAAGCCATGTTGGGAACATCTCAGGGAACAGCTAGAGGGTAGGTCCTGGACAGTAGCACTGCCTAATGGCATTGCTTCCGATTTATCAAAATTGATTTTATAACCTGAGAAAGAACCAAATTCATAAATAGTGGACAAAATGGATGGCATTGAGATGTCAGGTTTTGTTACGAATAGCAGAATATCATCTGCGTATAATGCTATTTTATTAACTTTACCGCCAATCATCACGCCATGTATATTTTGTTGTGATCTAATAACCACTGCTAGGGGCTCCAGCACAAGAGCAAATAGAAGTGGGGACAGAGGACACCCCTGTCGAGTTCCCCTATGTATTGTGAAAGGTGGAGACAGAACACCATTAGTCATAACACAGGCAGACGGGGAACTGTAAAGTATTTTGATCCATTTCAGAAAATCGCCTACTGTCCCAAATCTCTCCAAAACATTAAATAAGTACTTCCACTCAATCCTATCGAATGCCTTTTCAGCATCTAAAGATACAGCAAAGGCTTTACAGTTTGTTTGGTTTGAGTACTGAATTATATTAAGTAATCTTCTCATATTAGTGAAGGAGAAACGATTTCGTATGAACCCAGTCTGATCCGGGTTTATTAAAAAAGTCAGAAGCGGGGGGATCACGTGATGCACGCTGCGGAATAGTCGTGTGTTTTTCGTCTCCTCTCTGGGTCAAAGTAAAACTATAATTTAAGACAACAATCCACCGTGTGAACTGAAATAATAGCTGTAGTAAGCCTCGACATGTCTCTTGATAACTTTTTTGCGTCTACTGCATCGAGCAAAAAGAAGAAAGGAGGTCGGAAAGCTGGGGCTAATGCTAGCATAGCCGCAGCTAATCAAAACGACCAAGACGATGCGGCTGAAGACATGGAGCAGGGCTGCACTGTGAGCGATGTGGAAGAAGCTAACACTCTAAAAGAAGACATCATAGTAGAGCGGGTTACCAAGAATATCGAAGAAATAATGGACAGAAAAGTAACTGCAATTCTTAAACCAGTCTCTGAACTTGCAGAAAAGTTTGATAGTATGACGCGGCGAATGGCTGCCGCTGAGCAGCGCATCTCTGATCTGGAAGACGCAACAACGAGAAGCGCGCCAAGGATTGAAAGCATGGAGAAAACTATTGGAAAAACACTGGAAAGGCTGGACAGCATCGAAAACCAAAGCAGGCGCCAGAACATTAAGATTATGGGACTAAAAGAAGGCATCGAAGGCAGAGAACCGGCGGCTTTTTTCGAGGAGTGGATTCCTAAAGTGCTGGGACTGCAGCAGACACAGATCAAAATTGAAAGAGCCCACCGCACCGGACCCCCGGCCGGACGAAGGGACCCAGACCACCCACGGGCAGTCCTGGTGAGACTCCACAACTACATCGATAAACAGAAGATTCTCAACGCTGCAAGGAATAAAGGAATAATTCAAGTAGAGGATCGCAGAGTGTCCTTTTACCAGGACTTTTCTGCGGAGATTGTCAGAAAGCGACAGGAGTCCGCAGGTGCTCGGCGTCAGCTGCGAGAGGCCGGTGTGAAGTACGCGTTCCTGTTCCCTGCTGTTATTAAGATCTTCAACCAGAACGGGACGACCACAGTCCTATCTGATTTGAAAGAAATTAACGAATTCATCAAGACACTTAATAAATAAATGACTTCACACGGATCTTTCCGCATGTTCGAGTGGACATAAAAGACTAAGTGACGATGAGAGGTAAACATTGAACACTCGAAAGACAGTTGTATTAATAACATTGTTCATAATGCTAGATCTGCTCTGATCACAATGTTTTACAAATAAGAACGGTATGTTGAGATGAAACATCTTCATTATATCTCACATTTGTATATCCACGGGGGATTAATATTGAGACCCAGAGGGGGCAGGATGCTTGACTCTCTTTTCTCTTTTTTCTTTTTCTGATAGTGGTTCTTTACTTGCTCCCCCTTCCTGCTGTACCTTAGAATTAGGGTATGACAAGTTCGTTATTGTTATCTTTTTATGTAGTTTGTTATGGTTACTATTTCTTTAGAATCTGGTCCAAGCTCTGTGTAATGTTCGGGTTTTTGCTTGGAACTTTTTTGTTGGTTTGTCAGCACAGAACACAATTTGAGGCAGGCATGTTGCAGAGTAACTTTGTATTTTATTTTATTGATGTCTTTTTTAAAGACAGCATAAAGTAACCTTCATATACTCTGATGATGAGCATTAAGATTTGCACATGGAACGTAAAAGGTTCTAATAATGCAATAAAAAGGAAGGCTATCCTAAATAGTTTAAAGAAAGACAGGAACCAAGTAGCGTTTCTACAAGAAACTCATCTCACGGATGAGGAACATAAAAAATATTTAAGAGAATGGGTAGGACAAGTTTATTTCTCATCATACTCAACAAATAAAAGGGGGGTCATAATCTTACACAAAAATCTCCCTTTCACAGTTTTAGACACATTTAAAGACACAGAAGGAAGAATCATCTTGATTAAGGGTATTCTATATGGAGAGAGTTTCTTGCTTGGCAGTGTATATGGCCCAAATGTGAATGATGAGGATTTCTTTGCAGTCCTCCTCAGTCAAATCGCTGAGATGGATTGCCCAAACATACTTATCGGTGGCGACTTTAATTGTTCTTTATGCCCTCATATGGATAGGTGCCCCCCCCAAAACACCCAGTCTAAAAATTCTACGGCTGTAAAAAATATTCTTGAGGAACTGAATTTAATAGACATATGGAGGCATTTTAACCCCTCCATAAAAAGTTTCACTTTTCACTCGTTGCCACATTCAACGATGACACGCATTGATTATTTGTTTATGTCAAATCACTTGGTCCACCTCGTGGAAGAAACGGAGATAGGAACTATTTCCCTCTCTGACCATGCTCCTTTTAGGCTGGCAATGCATCCGCCCAGACCATTGGATCGCACAGCCTCATGGAGGTTAAACAGATTGCTGCTGCTAAATGAAGATTTTACAAAATTGCTAGAAGAGCAGACAGACATCTTTCTAGAATTCAATGACAATAATAATACTGACCCCAGATTGGTATGGGATGCTTATAAGGCATATATGCGGGGTATAATAATATCATATTCCAGTCGTAAGAGGAAAGAACAATTAGCAGAACAAAATAAAATTGAAAACAAAATTAAAAAATTGGAAGAGGAATATATTTTATCTAAATCTGGTAAAATTCTAGGGGAACTCAAAACAACCCGGGCCTCACTATCTGATCTGATAACAAAGAAAAGGATATATTATTTGCACGGCAAAAGTTCTTCGAACACGGTAACAAACCAAATAAATATTTGTCAAGATTAGTAAACAAATCACCTGGCACGAACTTTATATCCTCAATTCAGGACGAAAGTGGTCATCGTCATATGGATAACAGACGCATAAATGAATGCTTTAAGCAGTTTTATGAAAAATTGTATTGTTCTGAAGTAAAAAAAGATGCACTAGAGCATGAACTGCTGGATGAGTTAAATATACCACAATTGGCACCAGAACAGGCAAACATATTAGAAGGACCTATAACAACTCTAGAAATTGAAAAGGCCATCTCTGCATTGCAATCTGGTAAATGTCCCGGTGCGGATGGATACCCTGTTGAATTTTTTAAAACCTTAAAAGGCAAAATTAGCCCGCTATTACAACGAGTCTTTAACACATCTTTAGAAAAATCAAAACTACCCGATACCATGTATGTGGCAAATATTATTGTAATCCCAAAAAAAGATAAAGACCCAGAACAATGCTCATCATATCGACCAATTAGCCTGCTTGGTGTAGATATGAAAATTCTATCCAAGATTCTGACCACTAGACTGGAAAAAGTAGTCTCCAACATAATCAATATAGACCAAGCTGGCTTTATAAAGGAGCGCCTGTCATCAAATAATACTAAACGACTAGTCAATATCATTCAACATCTTAACCAGACACGAATGCCAGGCATAATTGTTTCAATGGATGCTGAAAAGGCCTTCGACCGTGTTGAATTGGAGTACATGTTTGAAGTGCTGAGAAGATTTGGACTTGGAGAAAATTTTATAGATTGGGTAAAACTTCTTTATAAAAAACCCACTGCATCGGTCTTGACAAATGGCCTCTTATCTGCACCTTTTGTATTGAGTAGGGGGACGGCGCAGGGAAGCCCTCTCTCCCCGCTACTTTTCTCCTTGGCTATAGAGCCACTTGCAATTGCAATTAGACAAAGCAATGATATTAAAGGTATATCAATAGGAAAAAAAGTGTATAAAATATTATTATACGCTGATGATATACTGCTAACCTTGACAGACCCTGTAAAATCTATCCCGGCTCTAATTGACTGTGTCAACAAATTTGGTAAAATATCTGGGTATAAGGTAAATTACGGAAAATCAGAAATAATGCCTTTAAATACTATTGACCAAGGAGAACCAACTTTCATCAAGCCATTTCGATGGGCTCCCACAGGATTAAAATATTTAGGAATACACATTACACCTAGAACTAGCCAGCTGTACTCTGAAAACATCAACCCTATCATTACTCATATTAAAGATAGATTAACGAGATGGAAGAAGCTCCCCGTATCTTTTTTGGGTAGAGTTAACCTCATTAAGATGATAATTCTCCCTAAGTTGATTTATCCAGTGTCTATGCTGTTTTTGTTTATTGACCCTAAAGACTTAGCTGGAATCAATAAAGCAATATCAGAATTTATTTGGGCAGGCAGGAAACCTAAAATTAAAATGGAGGTTTTACAACTTCCCAGAACCTTGGGTGGATGGGGTCTGCCCAAGGTTGAGAACTATGTACTGTCTATACATGCAAGAACTATTTCACAGTGGGCTATCCAAAAACACGCTAATCCATGGCTCGAGATTGAGGAAAGTGTCTGTAAACCTTGTCGCCCTATAAATATGCTAAATAAACAAAACAGAGAACTACCACTCATGGTAAAAAATAATTTTTTAATTACTAACACAATTAAGGCATGGGGCATTTTGAGGAAATTGTTTGGTCAGAACAAAAATTTTTCGTCTCTGACAACACTTGTAGATAATCTGGATCTGACAGTAGAGGGCGCTGGACCTGATCTCAGGTCTTGGCAAGAGGCTGGTATTACTAGAATACACGATCTTTGGAATAATGGAAAATTCAAGACATTTGAGGACTTAAGAACACAATATGACATCGTCTCCAGGGACTTTTATAAATATCTTCAAGTAAGGCATTATGTCAAGGCAAAAATGGACTCACTTGAGTTCCCAGGGGATTATTATTTACTTGAAAACAGTATTCTCGATTGTCATAAACGTGGGAAATTTGTGTCAAGATTCTATGCCATATTACAAGACCTAAAGAAAGATAATATGGAGAAGTTGAGAACAACCTGGAACATAACTCTGAAAAGTACAATTGATTTAGAGGTATGGGAAGATATTTTGACTCTGCCTTCTAGATTATCAGTATGTAACCGTTATAAAGAGATGCAGTATAATATTTTACACAATGTATACATATCTCCATATACATACAGCAGGTACACACCAGGAAGCTCTCCAAATTGTCCTAAATGTAAAACAATTACAGGGACTAGAATTCACTGTTTATGGGAGTGTAAAATTATAGAGACATTCTGGCACGCAGTATGTAAAGAAATTAGCTCCGCTATAGGTCAAACACTTCTCCCTCGTCCAATCACGTGTCTCCTTGGGTCCATACCCAGTCATCTGGATGCTCACAAAGAAATTGTGCAATTTCTATTGATGTTGGCCAGAAAATCAATAATGCTTAAATGGGTTGGTTCTGATGCTCCGTCGATCCAGCTATGGAAAAATTTGCTTTCTGAAGTTATTGTACTAGAAAGATTGAGATATTGTATGAACGGGAAATTTTCTGCTTTTAAGAAAAGATGGGAACGTATTCTTGTACACTTCAAAATTTCAAAATGAAAAAATGAAAAACCAGTAATGTGAATCTGAATGACGTGTATGTATAAATTGGTTATGTTTCTCATGTGACGCTATAATTCATGTACATGCCTCCAATTTTGATTTTGTCTTTTTTTTCTATATCAGTGCTGTATAAGTTTTGTCCTCGTTTTGTTCTTTCCTTTCCTGTTTTTGTATAAATATTCAAAAATACTTAATAAACATAATTCATAAAAAAATAAAAAAAAGTCAGAAGCTTCTCCAGTCTCATTGCAAGCAATTTAGAGAGCAGCTTACTATCTACCCCGATAAGGCTAATAGGTCTATATGAACCACAGATGTCTGATGGTTTATCTTTTTTAAGGATGAGGTTAATGTTCGCCAGGTTAAGTGTTGGCGGCAAGCCTCCACGCCCAAATGAGTGTATAAACATGTCAGTAAGTGGTCCTACCACGAGGTGGCTTAATTTCTTATAGCATTCTGGACAGAAGCCGTCAGGTCCAGGAGCTTTTCCACCCTTAAGGGAGGTGATGGCTTCTCTGACTTCTTTCTGAGAGATTGGAGCACCTAAAACTTCTTGTTGTTCCTCTGTCAGGCGAGGGAGAGTCACTCCACTTAAGAATTTTGTTATTTTAGCATCGGGCGAATCGCATTCAGATGTGTACAGTTTTTGATAGAATTCCCTCATAACCCTATTAATGTCTGTTGTTTTGTGGTGTCTGTCTCGGTTATTGTCTTGTAATGATGAAATTGTGTTTGCTTCCATTCTGCCTTTTGTTAGTCTTGCTAGTAGCCGGCCTGGTTTATTCCCTGATTGATATAATCTGTATTTAGCAAAGAAGATGGACGACTCTGCTTGTTTTGTTAGTATTTGATTTAAAGCTGAGCGAGCTGCTTCTAGTTTTTTAGAGAGTGCTCTAGAAGGAGTATTTTTAAATTGTAACTCTGTCTGTTGTATTGTTCTTTCTAAGTGTAATTGTTCTTTAATGGCAGCTTTTTTCTGGGCTGTGGTATATGATATGACACTTCCCCTAATAAAAGCTTTAGCCGTCTCCCACAGCAACGAGGGGTTGACATCTGGAGTCTTGTTAGTATCCATAAAGAGATTCCACTGATCTGTAATGTAATCAATAAAAGATGGATAACTCAGTAGAGACGGGTTCATCCTCCAGTGGCGAGAAGCAGGATCAGCATAGGGTGGGCTAATACATAACAGGAGAGTGATCAGAGATTGTACATGTGCTAATTGAACAATTTCTTACTCGATCCAACACCATTCCTTGAAGATAGGAAGAAATCAATCCCAGAGAACGTTTGATGGGGTTGAGAAAAAAAAGTGTAGTCTCTCTCTCTAGGGTTAGTGACTCTCCAGGTGTCATACAGTTCTAGATCTTGGCAAAACTCTCGCAACCTCAGACTTTTTCTTGATATTGTAGTAGATCTAGGAGGAGACTGGTCAACACATGGGTCATGAATACAATTAAAATCTCCCCCCAATACAATATACGGTGTGTGTACAGAAGCAATATCTGATAAAAGTTTTGGGAAGAAAGTAGCCTCATATCATAGTAAAGCTAAGGAAAGCTTGACACTCTGTGAAAAAGAGTGCCAAGAGCAATAGTAAACCTCCATAAATTTACAAAAAGCAATTGAAAAATCAGCAGTTTGGTGACATGAAAAATAGGTAGCTTACATTGTACATTGGCGTAGACAATAACGAAAAAAAGAACCCTCGTGAACGAAAGAACGGCCATCCCCAAACGATGGTCCCCACACAAACTCCCATCCCCAAGCCCCCTGTGCGATTCCGGAACTCCAGTCGCAGAAAGAAAACGAAAACTGGGGCACATGAATCCGAGAAGAGTCGCCGCCGAAAAGAGAAGACCAGACATCCTCCCTAAAGCTAAGCCCACCCCCACCCCAACCCGAGCCATAGCAATTTAGCCGCATACCTAATAAATTTAAAGCAACCAACACACTTTTATCATATATTGATCATCCACATGAGACACAGAGTGAGCAAAGGTCTAAATCGCGTAACATCTGAACAACAATTAGCCGCATACCTTTGCATCTCTGCACCGAGGAGAGAAGGAAAGAAAAAGTAGAGCATCAACCTCCATGTCAGGTCCAGCGTCTGGGATCAACCAGTCTATATCATAGTCTTAGTTCAGTTCGTCCAGGAAAGCAAGTGCATCCTTGGGTGAGCGAAACGATCTGGTTTTCCCTCCGTGCGAATAAGATAGAACAGCCGGGTATCTCATGGAGAATTTAATATCCTTCTTGATAAGAAGTTCGCACACCTCATTAAACGCACGGCGCATATCCTTGACAGCAGCAGTCATGTCCTGTCTGATGACGATCGTTTGGCCTTCGTATGTGAGCGGAGGCTGCTTCCTTGCCGTCGCCAAGATCCTGGATGTATCTCTGGAGTGATGTAGCTTAACGATCACAGCGCGCGGCCGGTCACGTCTCGGCGGACCAAGGCTCTGGTGAGCCCGGTCGATCTTAATGACGCCCCGCTTACACTCCAAGCCAAGAAGAGTTGGGAGCCATCTCTCAAAAAATTAAACTGGCTGTCGGCCTTCCGTATCTTCTTTGAGATTAAAAATCAAGATATTATCCCTTCGGTTCCGTCCCTCCAAGTCGATACATTTCTCGGTCAGAATACGCACTTTTGACTCCAGCTCTTTCAGCCTGGGTTCCACCGTCAACACGTCATCCTCCACTGCTGAAATGCGGTGCTCTGCATCCGTGATGCGCTCCGTGTTGGCTTCTAGTTTAGCAGAGATGTTGCTCAAAGTGGTGGCAAACTCCGCAAACTTTTTATCCATCAGGGCTGAAATCCTCTCGGTGACAGATTGAGAGATATCGGCGGCCAGGGAGTCAGAGTCGCTAGCAGGCATCTCGTGCTGTTGAGCTGCCTGGTTAGCTTCTTTGCTAGTTAACATATTCTTCCTCGTTGGCTCTTCGGTTAGTTTGCAAGCGGAAGATTTGGCTGTTTTAGGATTGGGCATGGTGTCCGGTTGCTATAAAATAAGCCTACAACTTGTTATCTTGGATAAGGATGAAAAAATAAGCCAAATTAGCTCGGGAGAGGTGGGAGCCCAGCGACAAGCGTCCGCTCAGGGTAACTGCATCACGTGACCCCACAGTTTCTGAATCATTTAGCATCTGAAACCTTTTGCATTATTTAATGATTGAAACTTTGCTCAAGTGGACAATCCTATATACCTGATAACAGCAGTCAGAAGATTACGCGACAATAATTTTGACTTATCACAAAATAATAAATGATGAATATTAAAAAATCACTGTATTTTCTGCGTTATAAGCCACACCCAAAAGCCTTCAATTTTCTCAAAAACCGTTGGTGCGCCTCATAATCCGGTGTGCCATATATATTGATCAGGACTGAGTTGCAACAAGTCTCGGTAAGCAGCCACCGACTCCATTTTATCCTGTAAAAGAAGTAGCATGCGGTGCATGTGCAGAGGCGCCACCTTCTGGGGATTTCACAGTACTGTACATTTTTCCCTGTTCATGCACAGCTGATCCAAATAAATCTTTAGCTCTTTTAACTGCACAGAAAGTGTATGAATACCCAGTCATTTCATTAAGGCGTTTTGGAGCAATGAAATTTAAGGTTTTGAAAATAACCCAGTTTCTCCGATTAGCATGGGTGAAAGAGTCTCGCTCTGGGTAACTTCTCCTGCGTGACCTCGTCACAAGCTCATATACCGTTATGCCAGCCCTGAGTGTCTGGCACAAGTGACGTCTATGTCAGGAAGCCCCCTCCTATATGTAGGATGGACATAGTGTCAGTTGTCATTCAAAGCAAGGCTAGCTCTGTCTTGCTTCTACTGCAAGGAGGATAGTCTGGTGAGGCACTCACTCATGCTAATCAGAGAACCGGGGTTATTTTCATTAATTTTTGTCTCTTTTTGACAGACCTGCCTGTTAAGACCACAACTGGTTCCAATGGCTTTTTGGGGAAGAGCTCCATCCAGGGATATTGTAACAAAGGCAAAATGTACCAGGGACAGAGCCATGACATCTAATTTATAAAATCTAGGAAATGTGTGTGGCAAAGTCCAAGAAGCAGCCACACATACGCCTTGTATGGATGCCCCTTTAAAATGAGCCCCGAGGTTGACAGATGTCCATCTGTCAACCAAGGAATCTTCCTTGTGAAACGTGCATGCAAATCAGCAGGGGGCTGAAGGCTGTTGCTTGTCTAGCCTTTGTTAATTGCACCAACTATCCACTGGGAGAGACGCTGTTTAGACACATGCTTCCCAACATGTGGTTTTGCCCAGGACAACTGGTCACTTTTTCTGAAACACTGACACCTGTCCAAGTAAATAAAAGACGGTGCTCCTCTGAAGCAAAAGGAGGGTATAATGCAGCTATCTCCATAAATTCAATTTGATTCAAATTTATTTGTATATCGCGAAATCACAACAGTTATCTCACAGCGCTTTTCATAAAGAGCAGGTCTAGACCGGACTCTGAAGTTTACAGAAGCCCAATAATTCCCACCAAAAGCAAGCACTAGGCGACACAGGCAAGGAAAAACTTCCTTTTAAGAAGCAGAAACCTCTAGCAGAACCATGGCTCAGAGTCGGCAGCCATCTGCTGAGATCGGTTGGGGGTGAGAGAGAGAGGGCAAGAAGAGAGAGAGCAGGGGGAGGCAGCCTACACAGTTTCACATCGAGGTACAGACAAGTAAAGACAACTGATATAGAAAAAACAAGAACCCAGAATCTTTAGCCAAACCAACCATACACCACAATTTTCACATCCAGACTGGATCCCAGTCTCTGACTCGTTCAAATGCAGCAGGACACTTGGGTGTAATGATTGATGACCAGCGGACCAGCTGGTAGTCAGTAATCCAGGAGATCACTGAGCTGTTGACATAAATCACCCACAGATTCTCACCCAGTAGCATTGGTTAAATGATGTTGAAAGCACTGGAGAAGTCAAAGAATGCAATTTTCACACTGTTTCCCCCACCATAGAGATGCATATAAGCTTGTTGCAGCAGGTAGATGACAGCATTGTCAACTTCTAAATGGGGCTGATAGGTGAACTGCAAAGGGTCCTGAAACATCCCCACCCGTGGCCTCAGCTGGACCAAGAATAGTCACATGAGATGTGAAAGAACTGGTCTATAGTCTGTTGGATCAGATAGTCTCAGCTTCTTGGGGACTAAAACCGGACAGGATGACTGCCACAGCACCGGGACCTTCTCATAACTCAGGCTCAGGTTGTACAGATGTCTCAGCACCAGAGAAAGCTGACTGACACTGGTCCCATTTCTTCCCCATTCAATCCAGTGATGTTCTTAAAGGAGTCATAGTATACCCTATTTTAACAAGTTAACCTAGTTCCCTGGTGTCCTAATGTAATGTCTGTGACAAGCTTTGGTCAATATGCCATAAGGATGAAGCACAATAGCAGTTCAATCACCCTGCCAAAACAGCCCTGTTCAGAGCGCTCGGTTTTGAGTGCCTGTCTCTTTAAATGCAAATGAGACACAGGCAATCCACCCACTTCTTCCGGGAGGTGTGCTGACGTCGGCACGCTCACGCTACCATGACAACAGCTGAACGTGAACTCTGGGAGAAACATGGCAGCTGGAAGAAACTTTTCTTATATGTTTGAACCAGAGTCAGACCCTGAACAAGAAGGAGCTAGCGAAGAAGTTGTTCAATGTAGACTGCAACAAAAAATTTCTGAATGGTGAGTTATGAGCTTTATTTGACTTTTTTCTTAAAAATGTGTATGTTTGTACGTCGGGTAAATACGGTCGCTGACTAAACATGGTCAAAGGCTGGAATATTATGAGCTAGAGCAAATGACGTCAGAAACTACAGACTCCTGAAAGCTCCTTATTTATCTCCTCTATTGAGACTGAGGCAGCCCACAAAAACATGACTGAGTCATTTTTTTCATACTTTGCCTGCTGATAAGCCCTCCACATTCCCAAATGTACATAATCAAATTATTAAAAACTTGGTTTTGCATAATATGTCCCCTTTAATTCCCCTCCACACATCCCTCGGGCTGTTCTGTTGAAGTCTTTCCTCCGGCTTCTTCCCACAGGTGTTCATGGATTTCCTCAGTGTCTCTCTGAGTTCATGCTGCACTCTCTTCAGCTTCTCTCTATCTCCAGTCCTGAAATCCACCTGGTCAGAAGCGCCGTGCTGGCATGGTCCAGATCCACAATCTGTTGACCGGAAGATATCCTGAAGTGCATCAGCAGGCTCCTATGTCAGCAGCCTCCTGTGTCCATCTCCTCGCCATGCTGGTGTGCACCAGCTGCCTTTTCACCAGAGGAACATGCTAGGCTTGTCCCGAACCGATATTTGGATCGGATCGGTCGCCGATATTCGCAAAAAACTGCTTATCAGCCGGCATGAGAAATTGCCGATCCAGATTCCCGATCCATGTTTTTTTTTTCAAGTCCGGTCCCCCACGAGCATTAGCGTCTCCTAACCCACAGGTCTGTGTCCTAACCATTAAGTTGTTATAAGAGTAAATCCCTGTTCAACATGAGGCAACTAAGTAAGTAGGCTAAACAACTTTCAACTTTAATACATGCTCTCATTGGCTGGTATCGGTATAGACTGGTATTGGTGTCAGATCAGAAGTGCAAATACAAGATCGGTATCGGATCTGAAGTGCCAAAAGCTGGATCGGGACATCCCTAGAACATGCCTGGTGTACCTTTTCGTAATCTGATCTGCCCAGGTAGCAAATCACCATAAATGCATACAGCTGTTTTGTCTGTAATTTGCCTGCAGTGATGATGTCACAGGCCACGGCTGCATCAGCTGATGAGGGGACATATACAGTAATTGCAATTGCCGACATTAATTCCCTCGTTAAATAGTACGGGCAACTTCCCAATGCAAGCAGTTCAATGTCCGGGGTCTTTAACGTTCATATGACCGGGATAACACCACCTCTCACTCAGATAAAGTGCAAACCCGCCTCCCTTCTTCTTACTGTTAGCACAGTCTCTGTCTCCCCATACAAAATTGTAACCTGTGACCATGACCGGGTTACAATGGATGAGCGAGTGTAGCCAAGCTTCACTAAAGCAAAATAGCACCACAAGCTTGTCCCCTTATTTCCCAGAGACCTCATGTTTCCCATTATAATAACTGGAACCGCTGAAAAATGTCTCTTCTTTTTCTCCTTCCATTTGTGTCCAAATCTCCTCCGTATCTCCTGTGGAATCACAGGTCTGTCTCCTGGCAGCAGCACAGGCTCACACAGCGCGTAAACACAGCTGTTCATGTCTGTAAACAATGCCATTGCTCATATCGGCAAAGTTCTCAGTTACAAAGGGTAGAAAAAAGAAGCAAATAGTTGTCCAGATAATGTCATAATGCTTGAGGATAAAAAGGAGATAGACAACAGGGAATAAACTAACAAAAAACACAACGTTTAATAAACGCGACAGGTGCAGCTGCTACAGGCTACAGGCGCTCAACTCAACTATGGAGGTGGCACCACGGATGCCCTTCTCTTGGAGGGGGGCCACCGCTGCCTTGGTGCATTTTACTAAGACCCTTGAGTGAGGAACAGACTATAGGCAGAACAGTAAAAGTGGACACATAAATAACACATACATATACAATACATTAGTGCAACTGGAGTACTAGTACTAGTACTAGTCTGGATGTTGATTGAGTAAGGTGACAGCTTTGGGGAAGAAGCTATCCCTGAATCTGTTTGTTTAGGTCCGTATTGACCTGAAGCGCCTGCCTGAGGGCAACAGGTTGAAGAGATGGAAGCTGGGGTGGGTGGTGTCCTTCAGGATGTTTCTGGCCCTGCTGAGACAACGGGAGTTGTAGATGGCAGTCAAGGAGGGCAGAGGGCAGCCGATAATTTGTTGTGCAGTTTGTCACTCTCTGCAGTCGCTTCCTATCAGCCTCCGTGCAGCTGGAGTGCCACACTGTCACAGCATAGGTCAGCAGGCTCTCGATGGTGGAGCGGTAGA